AATCAATCACATGCAGTGCATACAAATGCCTTTTCAACTGTTTCTCAACTTGCTCGACTTGTTGCTATGTTTCTCATTTGTGTTCGAAATTGTATCGACGCCTCATAGCCAAAGCGTGCAGCCAAATGCAACGGGGTCTGCTGCCGAAGGTCTCGGACATCGACTGGCAAGCCTCGACAGGACGACAAAGCACCAAGACATCGTATTTGATCGTATTTGATCGTGTGATAATGATACTCCAAACACATCCGCACTGAAAAACATGAAAAAACGAGCTGAACTGATATGTGATATTATGTGATGTTTTTTTGTAATGTGTTGCCTGCCACGTCAATTGAAGACGTTTAAAAAAAACATAAGAGAACTCCTATTGCCATCTATTGCCCTCATCGGCCTTCGGAAAGCAGCCACTGGACAATCTGTTCATCACCCGAAAAAGCGGCCACATGCAACGCTGTCCTTGTCCAAACCGGTGCACTTTCAACATGAACATACACACAAATATGCATATCTAATATGAACTTACTTATATTTAAATATATTTGAGATAGATGGTCAAAATATATAAGATATGCCAAACGGATCTTCTTGATAAGCCAGCTAGACATTGTTGAATTAATTTAGTGAAATGCACACGCTAATTTTCAAGGCAACCCTTCCAAGAAGCTGTTCGTCGACTCCTAGCATTGATGATTCATGATGTATAGCTCTTTTACGTCTATATAGATTCACAAATGAACCCGTCCTGCCCAGGCGGTTGCCTTCTGTCAACTCAGCACCAAAGGACACCAACAGCTGGACGAGCTGCAAGTAACCTTCTTGGATTGTCACATCCAACATCCTGGCAGAAGCTTCAATTGCTCTAGAACATGCTTCGAAAAACGGATGCTTTTCAAATTCACTTCGCCTTCAAATTCCAGCAAAGTCTTGAAGTATAATTTATAATTCCAAACTGAAAGTCGCTACTGTAAAGGTAATTATTCAATTTCATTCAGTTTCAATAAAATATAATAAAATGCAAAGAAAATCTCTGTGCCGTGCTCCGAGCTCCTCGTGCCGCCGTTGTCTTTCGAGGCTGGCGAGGCTCGGGCTTGGCACAGCTCTTGCAAGACATCTCCAAAGCCTTGCCGTGTCCACAGCCGTACCAAATTTACGGCGTCACATGATTTCACCCAGTCACAAGCCTGGACTGCACCGATATCTGGGCACTTTCTGTTCAATGTGAAGTGACAATGTTGCTACAACGCGCGAGGCATCCATCCTTTTCTTGCAATCTCATTTGGTCTACTTCTACGTTGTATATTGCAACTGCTTGACCAACTTGTATCTTTCGCATTCTTTCTCACGTTGATTCTGCTGGTGATGCGCCAGGCGCAGCAGCCCGTGTCGCCTAGCCTCGTGAACATGCGAGGAAAGCTGCGCTCATTCCATAGGGTCCGGGAGCATCCACATCAGCGTCAAGCTGCAGTAAACAACGGATAACCTGTCGGCAGTGCAACACCACTTTGCAAGCACAAGGCCACAAGGCCGTCTTGTGAAGAAAAAGACCTTCTAAGCACAGCCCTTAATTGATCCATGAGATCCCAACCAGATAAATCATCATGTAGACAGTCGAGCTCTAGGTTCTGGGTGCGTCAAGGAAAACGAGTTTCTTGACTTTTTGTGAAACCTATACGTAGGTTAATGTATTGTGCCTAAAATACAAATAGCAACCGTATTTATTTGAGACAATTGAAAATAGTATTCGGCGGTAAGCAGGTTTTGCCCAGAATCATGGTTACGGGCGGGACCATGTAGGGCAACGAGGTTATAGGGGTTCTTCACAGGCTATCCAAAAAGGCGACAGCGTGACAATGTTGGAAAAAGGTCAGCACTAATTAGAAACATTTTTCCTGGAATAATTACTACAAAATGAGGTGTAACGAGCATCAGGGCCTCCTCTAATCTTCGTTCTTCCCACATGTACCCAATAAGAGTATAAAAAGTCGTGGATCATATACATTGCGCACAAATGTGTATACAATGTCTAGGGGTCAGCTGAAGTCAATGACCAAACTGAATGGTTGCCCACCTCCAGGTGATTCTTCTGAGAGGCAATGTGCAAAGGCAATCGCCCATCCTACAGTCTCAATTTCTTTCAATGCTTTCAATATCTGTCCTAGTATCTGTCGTTGATAGGACAAGATACTTTCAACATCTTCCAATGCCAATGTGACGAAACTTTCAACGCCACACCAAGTTCATTTTGAAAAAGAAACGATCTCTTCTGGTCTCACTGTCATCTCGCGGTGCATCCGCCGTGGGAACATACATACCATTCGTATCCATTTGTATCCATTCGCATCCATTCGTATCCATTGGTACCCGTCATCATCTGAGTCGTCTTACTTATTCTTACAGCCAGTTCCCAAGTAGACAGTTGTTTGAATTGATAGATGAAACCAGTATTTCCTAGCATCCTCTAGATTTTCTCACAGAACAACAAATAGACAGCCATAGCCACATCCATCTTGTAAAGTCGCTTACTTTTGCAATAGCTCGGCTCGCACTATACATTACACCTAGCAAGTGCAAGTGTAAGCGATGCCCCTCTTCTATTTTCTTCTGGGTCACAACACGATCTCCTACAAGCACCAGTCCTTTCCCTATATCGTTTCCCTTGCCCTACACGTCTACTGCAGGTCTGATCCTTTCAACATGCAGTGCCGATCAAACTTTTGGCCTCTGCTTTGGAGTTGGCGGAGGCTTTTGCTTCCACAAGGCACCTGAAGAAGAAACATAGAACAAGATCCATATAGATCAATGAAGCCAAAGATCAAATGGAGTTTTCAGCTACTTTAAGCTATGAAGCTGCAAAAGCTACATGATAGCGACACAAACACGACACAAACAAAATACATGTAAATAATACAATTATTGCATATGCATGTATGTATAATGCAATTATCATGATATATTATGTACGTATATTAGCCTTTCATAAAATGACACACACACACAAAAGGTATTATATAAAAGGTCACATAAAATGAGGCTTGGTTTGGCTCGGCATGGCGCATGGCTCAGCCGTCGGCCTCACGACCTCCACGTGGCCACACTGAGCAGCAAGGTGCACTGGTGTGGCACCGTTCTTCATGGGCTTCTCCTGGCGGAATCCAAAGACTTAAAGATCAAAGCACAGCAATTGAACACTGAAGCATGCTAACACATGGTAACATGATAGTAACATGTGGTAAGTGGCAACCATGTCTACACTTTGGTTCTCAAGCCCATCACGAAATTGATCACTCTGCCTAGCCAAGATGATAGATCAACACAATTTCATCCGAACTGTACTGAACACGCGTTGGCCACCGGCGAAACGAGGACGGCCAGCCTTGGAGGCACCTGCAGCGAGGAGTTCCTTGACCATGTCCAAACGTCCATGGTACCTGAGAACGAGAAACCGAAAATCAACGGAAAAAAACATGTGGATCTGCATGGCAGCGGAAAAGACTGTCCAGGATATCGGCATCCCTGCAAATTAAAACAATATAATGATATATAATGAGTCAATGAACATGAAGTACCATGACGTACCAATGTCTGCTACATACAGTGTGCCCAAGAATTCCGTAGTCTCAAGAGGACGCTCAACGCATTTGAGAACATGCCATGACTCAATAGGATACAGAAACATTTGCAAGATTTTGCAAGTTCCATCAACATGGAAACTAAATCATGATAAATGACATCTGCACGACGTTGCATGTTCTTAAAATAAGACTGTGGAGATGACATCATCATGACATCAGATGACACATGATGACACAGACTGACCTACAAGAACGCATTCAAGAAAACTCCTCCCTGCATCTGGTCTCATCTCGTCTCATCTCGTCTTGGGAATTTCGACACGCCATGGCCATGGCATGCCATGCTGGGGCTCCGCACGACGCGCTGAGCAGCGCGGTGATGCCGTCGCTGCTGCGCGCAGCATCGGGATGCGTCGGGAGACGGAGCAACTTGGACAGGGCAACCAGGTCACCCGTCCTACCACGGGCTGCACGGGCTCTACACTTTTTTGGACATATGACATATGGTTTGATGATGTTTGATGTATATGTGTTTGATATGGAATTGTGATGAATTGGGATTTGTGTGATTTTGTGTATTTGATATCATAGTGTTGAGATGTGTTGAATTATCCTGACAAATCCTGTGAACATGCTGATGTCCATGGAAGTGGGTAGTAGTCTGCAACCTACATGAAGTCGGGTCATTTTAGATCTTCAAAGTATAACATTGATATATATATATACATACATATACGTATATTAACATGTAAAAAATCCTCTGACGTGTGCTGATGAAACTGCATGGTAAACCCTTGACCTGGAGTGGAGATGAGGGAAAAGGAGTCATACATGCACTTAACAGAAGGTGCAAAACAAACCGGTAAGAAAAGATGAAACAAGATGCAGCCCACGAACCCGAATGCAGTCACGTCGAACACTATTGTGAGACAAGTTATTTGAACAGTCTACATTTTTCCCCTGCTACCGTACCAGTGCACTGTAGACTGTGGAATGCGAAAGAGGGTGGAATGTAAAGTGTAGAGTGCGGAGTGTAAAGTGTGGAGTGTAAAGTGTGGAGTGTAAAGTGTGGAGTGAGAAGTGTACAGTTTAAAGTGTCGCGTGTAGCGTGTAGAGTGTAAAGTGTAGAGTGTGGAGTGCGGTGTGTAAAGTGTAAAGTGTATAGTTTGGAGTGCGGTGTGTAAAGTTTGCAGTGTGGAGTGTAAAGTGTGGAGTGAGGACTGTAAAGTGTAAAGTGTGGAGTGTAGAGTGTGGAGTGTAGTGTGTAAAGTGTGTGGGGTGTACAGTGTAGAGTGTGGAGTGTACAGTGTGGAGTGTGGGGTGTAAAGTGTAGAGTGAGGAGTGTGGAGTGTAAAGTAAGGAGTGTGGAGTGAGGAGTGTGGAGTGTGTAAAGTGTAGAGTGTGGTGGAGTGTGGAGTGTGGAGTGTGGAGTGTGGAGTGTGGAGTGCGGGCTGTAAAGTAAGGAGTGTAAATTGTAAAGTGTGGAGTGTGGAGTGTAGAGTGTGGAGTGTAGAGTGTGGAGTGTAGAGTGTGGAGTGTAAAGTGTAGAGTGTAAAGTGTAGAGTGTAAAGTGTAGAGTGTAAAGTGTGGAGTGTAAAGCGTGGAGTGTGGACTGAGGAGTGTAAAGTGTAGAGTGTAAAGCGTAGGGTCCGGAGTGAGGAGTGTAAAGTGTGGAGTGTGGAGTGTACAGTGTAAAGTGTGGAGTGTAAAGTGTAAAGTGTGCAGTGTAGAGTGTAGAGTGTAACGCGTAGAGTGTAGTGCACAGTGTGGAGTGTAAAGTGTGGAGTGAGGAGTGTAAAGTGTAGAATGTGGAGTGTGCAGTGTGGAGTGAGGGGTGTAAAGTGTGGAGTGTGGAGTGTGCAGTGTAAAGTGTGGAGTGTAAAGTGTAGAGTATAAAGTGTAGAGTGTGGAGTGTGGAGGGTAAAGTGTGGAGTGTGGAGTGTAAAGTCTGGAGTGTGGACTGAGGAGTGTAAAGTGTAAAGTGTAAAGTGTGGAGTGTGGAGTGAGGAGTGTAAAGTGTAAAATGTGGAGTGTGAAGTGTAAAGTGTAGAGCGTGGAGTGTGGAGTCGAAAGTGTAGAGTGTAGAGTGTGGAGGGTGGAGTGGAAAGTGTAGAGTGTGGAGTGTGGAGTGATGAGTGATGAGTGTGAAGTGTAAAGGGTGGAGTGTAGAGCACGCCGTGCGACACGTCTGAAGTGCTGCGCCTGCCACGCAAAATGACGACAGAGATCTCCAAATTGCTGTGCTGGCCACGAAAACTGCAACTCATCTTGTGAAAACAATGCAAAAGCACTGCGCCTGCCAAACAAAACGATTTTCGACACGTTATCAAACAGGTTGGAATGTCACAAAGTGCCGCGCCTGCAACGCAAAACGACATGACAACCTGCTTTGACACCTTCGAAAAGGAGAAGTTTTGCAGCTTCCCCCATAGACACGGCGAGGCCGCAGGAAAACCAGAGACTCGAGAGAGACACGTGGGAGCAGCAAAACGAGCATTTCGTGTGAGACTTACACTTTGTAGCTTCAAAATCGACGTTTTCCTACGAGTTTTCTTAGGAACCTCTAAATTTGCTACCTCAAAATCGATGTTTCGTGCGAGGCTTCCGTCAATTTTCATTACATCTCACAAAATGCCACGCCTGCCACGGAATCTGCACCCTGTCGCGACTTGACGCAGCCCTGCAGGCCAATGCGATTTGCAAAAACACGCAACACGACACGTCTAAAGTGGTGCGCCTGCCACGCAAAATGACGATGGACACGTCCAAAGTGCTGCGCCTGACACGAAAACTGCAACACATCTTCTGAAAATGTCGCAAAAGTATTGCGCTTGCCACACAAAACCACTTTCGACACATTACAAAACACGTCTGAATGTCACGAAGTGCCACGCCTGCCACGCGAACAGAAGCAACGCGACTTTTGAAACCTCCCAAAATGACCCCTTCTGGAGAACTTACCATAGGCACGGCCATATAGCAATCGCGCGGACGGTTGCGAACGGTTGCGGAATGTTGCGGACGGTTGCGGACGGTTGCGAACGGTTGCGGACGGTTGCGAACAGTTGCGGACGTAAACGCAACGTCGAGCGAACACACCCTCAGCCCCCAGACCCCCAGAGTGAAACGGGAACCCTTGCTACGCATTCGGGAAAAATGAGCCTGGGTAAACTGAAACTCAAGTTGTTCGAGGAAGGGTGCTTACAAGTAGGACAGGACCAAGCGAAGCTTCAGAGCGCAATGGCACAGTGTTTTTTTGAAGAATCAACTATAAAACTATAAAATTAAACATAAACTGAAATCATATTTTGCCGCATCATGAAATCCTCTCCACCGGTCTCCTCACAGAATCGATGAGCTGATTGGTTGTTTCCGTCTTGCACGGCTGGCAAATGAGCCTCAGGCAAGGACAGCCATGCGGGTTTCCAACAAGTATCCAACAAGTACAACTGAGTGCAACTGATCCAAGAGAGGTATTGCATGGTATTGCTGATCCACGCGCTTGGAATTCTGGAAAGGACACTGTTTTATCAAGTCTTTATCTAGCCTGAGAGATCCACATTTTCCTACAATGATTGTCTTGGTATGTCTTGGTCAACCATTCTGTATGCCCTCGAACACATCTCTCTTTCTACCCAGCTGACAGATTTGAATTTCCATCTTGCGTTTGCTCCCCAGAAACATCTCTGGACAAGGAACTGAAGCTCTGCTGCCGAGTTGTCGCACACATCTTGTACAATCAAGTTATCATTGAGGACCAAGGACCCTGGGAGCCAGTGACAAGAACTGGCCATGCCAAATGGGGAAATACGGCTACTTGCCAGGTCCAAAATCCGCATCAGCATTTCACTCATCCTCGGTGACTGCATTCGATCTCAATGTCTATATAATATAACTGTTTAAACCGTATCTAATTAATTCTAATATTATTCTAATTAATTATTTCACTTGTTTGTCTTATCTATCTATTCTCATGTTGCGTCTTTTGAAGTGCTTTGTGAACCATGGCGACCTGACGCAGAGTTGGCGAGTTGGCCTTGCAGCAGGGACTGCGCATAGGGTGGTGAGCCGCAACTTCGGGCCAGGCGAGTCTTCAGCACCTCAAGCTGCAGTCAAAGGGGCCACTGTGGGCCACTGCACAACCCATGGCGTTGCAGTGCGAGAACTTGAGTATCAAATAAAAACCAAAGAACACTATATAATACTATACAATACTACATAGTTTTTAGCGCGTTTAGCAGCCGTGTCGGGTGGTTGCACAGAACCACAGGAAACTCCAAAATTTTGAAACACTTTGCAACTCGTGTTCACCAGATTTTCGTCCCTTGACAAGTTGATGCACTTGAAGCACTTGAATCCAAGAGAGTCTCTATGCCAAGGAGCTCGGATAGTCATGACCTTGGGCACGCGGAGCGTACTCCTTGCCCCACTCAGGTGTTGCACCTGCAGGTTGACAATGTTACTCTCCAACAGGTCGAGACGGATTTCAATATCGAAGTATATCGAAGTCATCAGATCACTGAGACTGAAGCATGTCTTTGTGGCTGCAGATCCAAGAAGCTTATAGAAGCTTCACATGCCCAAACAAGAAAACATGGGAATGGACAACACCATTTGCGAAATAAGCATAATCCGTTGGATAAGAAGAGATACTGTACTGGAAAATTTTCGCGAAGCAAACACCAGATTTATCACCGTCTGGGATGTCGACATGCAAAGTGGCTGAATCCTCATCCTGAGTGCAGACATATGACATGCTATATCATGCTATATCATGCTATCATATACTACGATATATGCCAACATGCTCTCCAAAGATGCTGGGTCTCAAGCACAGAAAAGCATTAGACAACTGCAGTGATGCTGCAGGAGTCTAAAGACAAGGGTGGCCTGTCGTCTATGTGTCTCTGTGAACGTATCATTTGCAGCTCATGCATAACATTCTGAACATTCATGACCCTTATCCTTTTTTATCGCCAAGGATTTTTTCTCTGCAGGTTTGCTTTCGCGCTAGCGCTGATGTTGTATCTTTGAAGATCCTCTTCGCCCCCTTCTTAGCCTAGAGTTGGAGTTTCTGCATTCAAAGCTCTTCCAGTGAATAGTTACCTCCACCTCAACCGTTGCTCAACCGTTGCTCAGCCTTTTTTTGGTCGAGGGTCGAGGTTCCTTCTTGAAGCCAAGCATCTTCCTCCTCCGAACCCTCCGCCATGGGTGCCGCTGGCGTGCGCCGCGCAGGGCACGGCGGATGGGCAGCGGGGCCAGCTTTGGGCCTAATAAGCTCTGTGGAATCACGGTGGAATCACCGAATTGATGCAGATTCAACAGTGATTCAACGGACTTTCTCTTGGTTTTTTGTAGCAAGTGCACCACCTCTCAAACTGTTTCTGGAGGCAGCTAGGCACACAATAAGAATGCAGGTGGACATTGGACAAGGAGATTTTCTCTGTTGGCTTGGCTTCTCAGGGAATCGTGCCCATGTTGCTAGGAGCTGCCCCAAGCAAAATATTGATGCCCCGAACCAATCCTGTTTTGCAAATGACACTGAACCAATCCGATTTCCCAACTGCAAAGGCATACGAACGTAAAAACAAACAAGAACATTTACAGAAGGAGTTTCCCTTGCTTTCTGCTGAGCAAGTCCCTAAAGGGGGCAGCTCCTTGCTCATCCAAAAAAACAAAACTTCTCCGTGCTCTTTCCGTCCAGATGTTTTTCATGATATGGAGAAATCAAACTACTGCTACGAATCTTGACGGGATCTAAAAGCTCACGATTCAACAGCTTCAAGGAATTCCCCTTGTTGACTCTAGGATGGAAAGAAACAGATTTTTGCGTTGGTGGTCCAGGGGTGATTCAAAAATCAAATCCACTAGGACTTGGCAAAATCCGTCGTGCAAGAAAGAGCTGGTGGAAAGCAGCTGGACTTTCATACAAAACGCTGAACTTGACACATTTCTCAAGCGGCAAACGTGCTATCAAAGCTATCAATCGTGATCAATCATGTGTCCATCTTGCTATTGAGGGCGCAACCTTTTTTCAAAACAACATCGTCCTACACTGACCTCCAGGAATTTAAAGGATGAGTTCACGGATGTGGGCGTAATGCCAAATCTGATTCTGTCTAACATCACAGCGACATACACCGACATACACCGACCTGATTTCTCAAAGAGAGACATTTGAAGTTGCATTTACTCAATGTGGAAAAAAAATAACTGTTTAATCTCAGAACATGCTGCAACAGGCGAGACTTTTCTGTCCCAAAGCCCAGCTGATGTCCTCCCAAAAGAGCTCCCAAGCAGCGCATGGACGTGCAGTTGTCTGTGATGCGGTGAAAGAGGAACAGTTTTGATGAAGACCTCAATGACACAGGTCTTTGTTTGCCACAGTCACTGTCCTCTCACCTTGTTTTGATACTGGAACATGGCTGGAAACGCCTCTGTGCAAACGGACACTAGCAGCCCTTGTATCTGGGAGCTTAGCTAAGCATCTTGTCCCATCATGCCTCATTCTATGTTTGCCTATGCTACCTTGACATGCCGATGGAAATCATTCGATTGGTCCAGCCATAGCATATATCCTAGAATCTCTGTACTACCTCTATGTAAGCTACCCTGTCTATACTATTTGTGTGCTCTCACATGCTCTCACTCTTTAGCTAACACTTTATCTGTCCGTTATTTTCCTTGTCTGCCAATCAATCGGTCATTTTGGCCGCAGCCACAAAATTCTACATCATCCTGTCATGCCTATGAAATAATGTTTCCGTAATGTATCTATGATTCTTTACACCAAAGTACATCTTATCCATTCCTTTGCACGTATTCATATAATTTCAATATCTATGTCATCCTAGCTTGCGTCTTTTATCTGATTGCCCAACCAAGTTTCTACTTTGCCTTGCTTAAAAAGACTTCCTAATGCCCGGCACAGTGCGAGGCGTCTCCAACTTAAAAGTACACATCCTTGAAGTCGCTTCGCAAAGCCCTGAAGCCCCGGAAGGCAAGGTGAAAGGACTTTTCGAAGGACTTTTCCAAAATCCTTTCTCTACTCAATTCACACGACGATCAGGTCACGTCTCAGGGCCACGTTTTGGCGCAAACCGTCTAAGAGTGCAAAGCACTGTGCAAAGCACAGCTGTCACAAAAGTCATCCAGCTTGGCCACATGAACCTTTCGCAGAGAGATCATTCAGAATTTGGATAGATTCATTATGTTTCATTCACATCCTCAGCATTCGCAACTCAAGTTCGTCCAAGATGGCAAGACAACTTATAAACATCACATAGCTTTCCTTTGTATCTCATTCTCCTGGCATCCTGCTCCCAAGGAGGGCTAATATGATCAAACATGTGCTAAAACCTGCTAAAATGTGCAACATGTGCTAATCATAGAACAATCACTTTAAAGAAAACATGTACATGTCGAGTCATCATGTCGAGTCATAAAATACGTCTCCATGTTCTTCATCGTTCTTCGTTGTTTTTCATGTTCCCAAAATTTGGCTGTGCAGGAGTGGCAGTGACCTGGAGCTCCATCTGCTCATAGTCCAAACGCCAAGCGATGCCTCGTAACTTCCTCCAGGTCCATGTCACACATTGTCACACATTGTTACCCAAAAAGATATCAAATGTGTGTTGAAATCGATCGAAATGAATGGAACCGATACTGTATTATGTATATAAATATATATATATACATGATTATATATATATATATTTATATATGTGACATGCCACATGAAATGCGTATGAAATGTGTGTTGAAGTTTTCAAAGTTGTGTTGCATGCATGGATGCATTGTGCTGTTGCTGTCCGCAATCGCCCCATGTTTGTTTAAGTTTGCTAAATTGCCACTTTCCCGTCCCCTACGAACCTACTGCGAACCTACTACGAACCGAACCTCTGAAAATCATACTACGAACCTCATACGGCCTTGCTATGTCTTGCTGACATCGGACATCTTGGTCGGATGGCCTGGTAGCGACCCTGCGCATGGCCTCAAACAGAACTGCACGGCTTCTCTACAAGCAACGATCTGGACAAGAGCAATGCCAAAACAACAGAAATTGACGCAGAAAGCGAAACTGTGCGAAAGATGATTTAAGGATATGAAAGGGTTTTTGACGGGTTTTGCTTATGTCCTTTACATATTTTCAATTGTTCCTACATGTTCCTACACATCCTCAGTGACCCAGTAAGGTTCCCAACTTGGTAAAGCACAATCTTCATCGCATGCTTCGCTTCATCGCAGAGTGGATGGAGCGTGCCATCTGGAGCAGAAAATGAACTTCCGGGATGGGAGCGGTTCAAACACCAGGGGCAGGAGTTCGCAGAGGTCACGGGCGGTTTGCTTTTGATCTATGTGTATCCAATTGACATATCTAGGCTAAAATGTGGCATCCGAAGCACCCCCCCCTATCTCTTTTGGAAGCCCAAAAATGCGTAGAGGGGGGGGGTATATTTCATGTGGTCAGGTGAAATATTTCTCAGAATTTTCTTGCCTTACCCCCCAAAAAAATATTCCGGGGTTAAAGGGGGGGATACAAAAACTATGTGATGTCCAGGAAAGCAAAACATTATTCAATTATATTCAATTATATTCAATTATTTCTGCAACAAACGTCTTCAGATCCATGATGAAGAATCTTGAAGTTCTTGAGCTTGACTTCGAAAGGTATGCGGCAGAGAAGAACAATGTTCTGAGTTTGGCTTGGTACAATGTTCTGATACACTCTCTGAAGGAATGCGGAGCTAGAACTAGTACAGTATGAACTAGTACAGTAACCTCATTGGAGAATACACAAAAACTAATCTTTCATAATCTTTCTATGTCCAAACCTCAATTAAAATACTTTGCCCTTCGATTCCCTTAGTACCTGTCCTCTTTGAGTCTCCCTTGTACAGAAACGGGTTGTGAACCTGGCCCCTCCCAGCTGCCTGCACTACGCTCATGCCTAGCAGTGTGCTCCAAAGATGCTGCAAACTGCAAACATTTAAAGGTCACTATGATCACTGCAAAAGCCCAAAGATCAGAATCCACCGAAGCTTGTGACAAAGCTTGAACCAGCTTGAAGCTTGAACTGTTAAATCAATGAGATCAAGCCAGAAGTGGTTCATAAGGCATCTCAAATCATCTCATCTTAGTAGTCTCAGTATATCTCACTTTGTCTCCGTTTCTGTTTCCATTTTCGTAGCATCTCGTGGCATCTTGTGGCACCTGAAGTCCCTTCCATTCCCTTCCCTTGATCTGCCCTGGTACTCTACAGCGTCGCTCTCTGGGAACCCGGGCAGCAACCTCGCTATCGACAGAACCACTCGACCCCCAGCCTTTCACCGAAGGGATCCGACATCGATGGACATGATGGACCATTGGACACTTTGGAAAGGCGTGAAAGGGCTCAAAAATGATTCTTTCAAAGCTCTTCAATCCTTCAGTCGCAAAAGACTTCCAGATTGACCAATCGAGAACTTAAATGTTCCTCTGCACATGTTTTGACAAAGGGGATAGAATATATCGGCAGTCCCAACACCAAATGTAGGTTCCAATTGCATGACTGGAGGCTGTCTGAGGGTCTGTGCAAAATCCAAATCAGCAGTGAGGTAATTAGCAAACGTAGCATTGTTCTAGATTTTCGAGAGATCTGCTTGGCAAGGCTTCGATTTTTCACTGTTTTGTGTTCGCAGGCCAAGGCATTCAATCGTATTGGAATGCCAGTGATTAAAGAGTTGACGAAAACTATCGAAAACTTGTTAAATGTTTAAATGGCTCACAATCATGGGAAAATCCAAGGAACAAGCTTCGGCTCCTTCGCCCAACCAAAAACCATGGAAAACCAATGGAACTCAAAAGATCTCAACAGGAGCTCAAAGGATCTTTGAAATCTTTGAACTTCAAAGAGCTGCAGTGCCTCCACAAGTCACTTTCGTTGTCACTTTCGCTTGTTCCCTAGATTCCCAGGCAGCTGAAGTGACCGATCGAGTGTCGCGGCGCAGTGTTTGCCTGCCTCGCGTCCTCCGCAAAATTCACTCAGCTGTGACACATGAGAGATTTCTATTAGAGACAACTAGAGAGCAAATAGAGCAAACCAAGAATTGCTAAGATCTACGAATATCTACGATATCTGCTACGTTTGAACCCTCCTTTGCAAACAGCTACAGTGACGGTGTCCGCTTTCTTGGGATTAACGTTTCAGAGCTGAGCCTGCACTGCCTGGAAATATCTGGAAATAGCTGCACAAGGAATGGATAATATCGGCATATAGGTGAACGATGATGTATATGATGTATGCTCTAGGCAATGGATCGTACTTCATGCACTAGGCTGTCACATCCCTGAATAGTCTACTTATGCCTACTCAGATTGCAGTCATTTTGTCAGAGCTTTGCTTTCTTTATTTTGTTGCAATAATCGCATCGCATCATTCAAAATTCAACGGCAATTCTCTTTGAGCCCACCAAGGATTTCTGATCCTTGATCTTGGTTGATGATATTCAAGGGTTATTTCGTGTTATTTCATATTATTTCGATTGTTTCGATGTTTATCTGTTGATCTTCACCACGATAAAGTTAAAACCTCTCTGTGTCTGCTAAGCTAGCTCTGGTTGGCTAGCGGCGGCTAGCGCCTCTCTGTGGGATCAGTGTTGACGCCTCACGCTTCTCACAGGTGAGGCTCTCGCAGCTCTAGCAGACTCACAGGGTGACAGTGCCCACGAAGCCATGACCTGAGCAAATCACAACTCACAATTTAACAACTGCATGTATGTTTACAGTAAATATAATATGTTAAATCATGACAAAACAGGCTTACAAATTACAAATGCTTTTCAGAAGATGCTGCTGCGCTGCTCTGGGAACTACGTATACGTGAAACAAAGCTGCCCAGCTTAAATGTGCCAGCATTGGATGAAGGGAAAATGAGAAATTCTCAATCTAAAAAACATGATTGAATGATTCAATTTAAGATTCGGAACATCCGAATCCTAAAAAACGGCAGAGACTGTCGGACTGTTCGGGGAGAGGTCTTGCCCCAGTTGTGCTCCAGCGGCCGTTGCGGATGGCTGCGAAATAGGCCGCGAAGACCAATGACACGATCGCCTGAAGCTTCATGACCTCAGGTACCAGGCGAGCAAGTGATACAATACAGAACACGAAAATTCATACAAATTCTGCATTCAGAACACTTCCTCAATATCATTCAATGTCCTTGACAATAGACGAATATTAGGATTCATGCCTGTGTATTGACCATTGAAAATAACTGGCAGTACTATCTTATGATATCTAAATCATCGCATTTGCACATTTTGACCAGAAACGCAGCAATCAGTTCGACATGAAACGACGGCGACATGACAAGACAAGACCCTGGCAGCAACATATCGAGACATATCGTCGTATCATGTCGTATCGTCATGTATCGTCAACGTGTTCATCCAAGCGACGATGTTCAGTGCAGGGCCAGAGGTGTCCTTGAAGGGATCGCCAACCTCAGTGATCTGCTTCGCTCAGATCCAAACCCGGGATGGTGGAGCCTTTGAGCTTTGAACATGTTTTTTTACATGTAAAAGAACATATAAAAGAACATGTTTGGAGTGATGTGTTGATATGGGTACCATTGGGTACTATTGGGTACTCATATTGATGTTTTGACGGAACTTGTTGGTACAATTTTCTGCTTTAGACTTTGGACCCGTCTCCCCAGTTACACTCTTCAGTCTGAGTTGGGCTTCGAATCCCGAGTTCTTATACATGTTCTCAGATGTTCTCAGATGTTCTCAGATGTTCTCAGATGTTCCATGGGATTCCAATGGATCCCATAATTTCACATTTCGCTGTTCCAACGAGGGTCGGTGTCGCCCTGCACAGCGGCATCGTGGGCCTCCTTGGCCTTTGGCGCGGCGTCCTTCTCCTCCTGACGTACAGCGGGGCACTGCTGTTGGAATCTGAGGGGACTGTGGGAATTTGGACCGGACGACAAGGGCACCTTTGCTTCTGGCGTTTTAAACTGCTGAACTTTGAAAACAAATAGAAATGAATCATACTGCAATATACTCTGCAGACATCTGTAGACTATAGCTGCTATAGCTTCAGGATTTCAAGATATTTCAATGTCATGCGCCAACATATGCCAACATATCCCAACAATTGCCATCATGCCTGTGTCTTGGGGTTCTTCGTGTAGCGCAGCTCAGGATCGTCCGAGAAGCCATTCCTCAGCTGACAAAACTCACTTGCAGATCCACTTGTTCATCCTTATCTCATCCTTATTTCATCGTTCCTTGTCATCAAGTGCTGTCCTTGTCAAGGGACTTGATGAACTTCTTGCAGTTGTCCCATGCACCGCCGGAGTTGGACATGGAGATGGCCAGCTGCACAGAGGAGCCCAGGGAACCCGTCAACAGACCGAAGACGGCCTGGTGCCGTCAGGTGCCGTGAGGTGCCGCGTGCCGAGTGGCAGGATGTGCCAAGTGTCGGGTTAGGACTGTAAGACTCTTCCACGTCTTTCACGGTGATCGACATGATCGATATGATGCATAGGAAAGACATGGAGGGTCCTTGTCCAACATTGAAACTCTTTATACAGGACTTACAGGTAAATGGACTTGAGTGGACTTGAGAATGGCAGGATCTTTGAAGAATTGGTCAGCCTCCTGTTCCCACCCTGGCTATGCCTGCACGCCAAAGAAAGAACCGGCCAGCAAAGGTGACAAAATCACCAGGCAGGCAGGAGCCACCATCTCCTGAACAGTTAGACTGGGCTAACAAATGGAACAAAGACTTTTGCGGTCTTTTGCTCAGCAAACTATGAATGGCATGGCTGTTCAGATCAGTGTTGAGAGGGAAAGCACAAAGGCATCGAGAATCCATTCACAGGGCACTTTGTAGAGAGGAATCATGCCACTTTTCTTTCTGGAAATCCAGAAATCATTGCACAATTTTCAAATCAGTAAAACCATGCGAAATCATGGGAAAATCTGCAAAAACCCGACGGGTCTCAAGCAATGCCCCCCATGCCCCGCATCGCCCCGCGGTCCCTCAGAGATGCCGCAGTGGAGATTTGAATACAGGTCAAGGAATCCGGCTTCAACTCGGTGCCTCAAATGACGTGAAGCTGACTAGATCTAACTAGTGTAGGTGGGCAACGATGAAATCATCATGAAATCATTATGACAATGAACTCATGATCATATTGGATTTGAATATACTTGAATCGATTTCATAGTTGATTGTGAGGCATTCTTTTCCTCTTGTTTGATCCAAAAAAGTGACCTATGCTTGGAATGTTTGGATCTCAACATTTTTGGCACGTTCTTCACTTTGACAAAAATCAGGTGAAACTAGAAGCACACCGAACAAACCAATGTATGCAGGTTTTCAACGTATGTGTCGGGTCTGGCACAGCTGCGGGACATGCGGAGCCATCGGAGTCAATTGACTGGGGCCAGCTGAGCTGAACTAGATCAGAAACCTGCCTGTACTGCCTATACTGAGAAAGAAAAATGACTTTCGCATACTTTCGCCTACTTTAGCCTTCACCTGCATAACAAGCTGATTCGCCTAGCTGATTCCATGCTGATGCAATTCTCTGGTTGCTGAGGTGCTTCCATCCAGCAAAGTCTTGCCCTTGGAGTCCTCGCAACGAGGCACAGTCAAACGCAATATTTCTGCTGTCTGCTTCAGATCTGGACCTGATTCTGCACATTTCTGCACCATAGCACGTAGCCAGGGAAACAATTGGATCAATTGGATCAATTGGAAATATGAGAAACATTGACATCTCATTGACATCTCATAAAAACATCGTGGCATCGCACCGTGGCTTGGACTCTCGACATCGACCGGTCCTTGATGCTGAACTGTCGCTTCACTTCTGCCACCATCTCTCCGGCGGCCTTGCCCACGGATTTCATGGTCAGGGCGGCGAACCAGTACGGAATCATGCAGCCGATGATCAGGAAGGCCTCAGTGACGCTTCGCTGTGAAATGGTCGACTCCGAGGCCCAGCGGAATACGAAACACAACGCAGACCAAACTCGGTGTCCCAGCGCTTGATCACTTCATCATACTGAGGCTCCCACGAAAGTGGTTGGTTCCAGGATGTTCACACCTGTTTTCACCTGAGTTTAAGGAAGGACCTGAAAGAATCTGAAAAAAATGAACTTTAGATCTAACTTGTTTAATCAGTTTATATCAGTTTATCATTTTTTTTGCACCGCGTTTGATGCCCTGCTTGGCCAAGAAGCACGGAGGCGCACCACGAAGGCACCGTACAAGGCCAAGGAGACCAAGGCCTGGGTCAAAAAATCAAACGACAATCTGAGATTCACCAGATACTACATGATTCAACAGCGTTGACGTGGATTGACATGTAGCATCATGTAGCAATGTGATAAAACATGACAAAACACAGAGAATCTTCTAACTCGAAACATGTCCTAAAACCATGTCACTATGTTCAATCCCATTTGTTCACTTCATTAAATCAGTCGATCTCTTAGGCATTTCTTTCGTATTCTGTTGTTATTTCATGTTCTTTCTTGAGTTCCAATATGTTCGATATTATATATATATACATATACATATTTATATGGAAAAAAAGTGCCAATCGTCTTTCCTGTTTGGCACGGCTCTACACTGGGGAAATGGCCGCAGAGCCGATGGCGAAGCCCTTGCCGATGGCTGCAGTGGTGTTGCCCGCGGCATCCAAAGCATCGGTGCGGCGACGCACCTGGGGCAAGGAGAGTACAGAGAGCGTCTGGGATATCTTGGGATATCTTGGGATATCTCATGATAAAACATGATAAAACTATTGAACTTTTTGAGTGATATGAGGATATAGGTTCAAACTCATCATCCCATTCTGCAAGCTGATTCCCAGAAGTCCATTGTAGTCTCTTTGTCACTATGTGTCACTGTAGTAGCCTTAGCTTAATCTAGCAAACCCCATCTTCGCATACCTTCGCATATCTTCGCCCTGTGCCCGTTTTCCCTGCCATTCCATGCCTCAGGATTGAAAAGGGCCATCTCAGCGATGCCTCCAGCGTTGTCGCTGATGGGTCCGAAGCCATCAATGGTCAAACCACATGCCAAGGTGGCCAACCTGCCAGCTGCCATACCAGTGACTCCAACAGTGGATACAAATGTATACAGTAATACAGTGTATCCATCATGAAACAATCATGAAACCACATTATCACATTGTATGTGCAAATATGTAACATGATGAGTAACATGTACAAATGATAAATAAATATGTGAATATCAAATGATAAACTCTTGCAGTTCAAAACACTTCCATGTGTGAAAGTGCGACACTTCGTCTTTGGGTATGACGAAGGGCAGATTGTGAACAAATTAAAACAAAAGAAGACTCACGTGTGCAACAAAGCAATCTTGAGTCCTGCAAGCAAATGGTCTGAAAGGCACCACATTCCAATACGTGTGTTTCATTGTGTTTCCATATCCTGCGATGCATCCAAAGGAACAAACTGATACAAACTGAACAAATAAAAAATATATACAGAATCGTAATCGATTGAACAATTTGAGGTGCAAATCAACATCATCATCAAATCAACTGATTTTGCAAACATGTTTGTATTGTTTTTGACCTGTTTTGACCTGTTTCAACTGGGCGAGGCAAGGCACATGCCCAAGGCGGCCAAGGCGATGCCATAAAGGTCACAGAGTTGGAAGGACACGAAGATGGCCGAAGACAAAACGAAGACGGGGATGATGCAGCCTACGGTTTTGGATGTTTTGAAGTGGGGAAGAACGAAGACATACGAAGAAATACGAAGAAGACATGGAAGTCTTCATGGAAGTCTTGAATAGTCTTGAATAGTCTTGAATAGTCTTGAAGTCCTGTACATCTATCATATCTTGGATACAAACGCATAGGCTGCATAGGCTATCCCATATAGGCATAGCTAATCATAGTTATATAGGCATACAGGCCAATAGGAGTTACTTGTTGTGGCTTTACCATCTTTACTTTGGTCTTTCCCTATCTTCCGCATCCAGCCAAAAAGAGTATACAAATCTCTGCATTGCATTGATTGGGTGCTTTCCGAGCAACTCTTGTAGCCCAATGCCAAGCCCTGAATGATGTTCACAGCGGTTCCTGAAGCACGTGAGCCAATGACTTGCCCAACTGCCTGATATTGGTGAGAGACACTCATTTGAAATCAAGGCAGAAGGGGTGTCAAAACGGGCAAATCCATGCGAACCCTGGGATTGTTGTGGAACCACTCCTTCAAACGTATCTGTTCGAGTGGGATATGCCCTGTCAGGCTCCTCCTTAGTTTAATGGGGAGAAGCAATTGCATGGTCCCGTTCGTGTCCTATTGCAGCCTCAATTTGTGATTTGAGTCTTCCAAATCGTGGTGTGGCAACTCATTTAACTTCAAGCCGAAGAAACATAAACATGTTGAGAACTAATGACAGATATGACGGGCCAGGTAAAACATGATGGGCCGTCGCAAAATTACACCATCCTCCCCTTACCGGTGCTGAAGCACAGGCTCCGAATTTGCAAGCACTTGCCAGCTCACGAGTAGGGATATAGCTGTGGGAGGTAAAGTACTCTGTGATGAGGCCAATAATCAAACCACCTGGGCGAGTGGTCGAACTTCAGTGCAAGCATGGTTTATGGAGTTGATTTTTTCCCTTGCTGCCAAACGCCTTGAGATCATGTTAAACCGGATGGTTTCAGTTTCACGTGATTGTTTGTCAGGAGGACAAGTGACCTATTTCTCAAGTGCTGGAATTTGCCCCACCTTGTTATGTTTCCTATTCGAATTATTCATGCTGGGCCTTCACTGTCCAAGACACCCACACATCCCATGGTTGCGCACATGAAGGCCTCACAATCACTTTTGCGACAAACATGGTCGAATGCGAATGATGACAAACGTACAACTTTCGCATGAGTGTGACTAAATGTGACTAAATGTCATAAATTTCACAACTCCTTTATACCAACTCCGCCTTGACCGTTCAGATTGTTCAAAGCGTCCACTGACGGCGTCCACACTTTAGTTTCACCGGTTCCAACAGCAGAGAGTTTGCTCAGACCACTCTGACCATGTCTATGCTGCATAGATTGGTGATTTTGGGTAATGAAGTATAAGATAATATAAATCATTACCTTGAAAGATCCTGAATCATAATCCGCTTGGAACCATCTCGATGTACTTCGATTGTACCTATATATATATTATATATATGTGTATTAATGTATATATATATTTATCTATATAACTATATAAGAGAGATATATATATGTTATATGTCTTGATCATGTTTCGATATCTTTCCTCATTTCGAAGGTGATTCTGACTTTGGCTCCACCTTGAACGGGGTGCCATGGATCTTGGCAGGGACACCCTCCTGGCGGTCCAACAGTCCAAAGAACAAAATAAGCAAAAAGATGCAAAAAGAGTATAAAAGAGTATAAAATAAAGAATGTCAAAGAGATTGGCTGTTTGAATCCGTTTCATACGTTTCATGTTTTTCACATTGCACGTGTTTCACAGTGTTGCAAATGTTGATGCTGATTGATGCTGATTGCATGGTCTGTCACAGAGAAATACTGACAATGTGAGTATCAAAGTATGTCTCGCCTGAACAGGTTCAACATGGTTCAACATGGTTCAACCAATTTCAACCAATTTCAACAAGCTAACTACCACCTTTTCTTTTAATTTTTTTTCATAGCTTTCTTCATAGCTTATTGCAGCTACCTGACTGCACTACGCCATTACGCTCTCAGGCTCTGGCAGCCCCATGCATCCACCATGTCAACGCTCGAGTTAACACCATTCGATACCCGATCTATTCGATACCCGAGGACCTCTCCAGAAGCCACTCCAAGTGATCAGAGTTCGATTTCCGATTTCCTGATATTTTTGCTTTCCATCCTACGCTCCTCGTTGAGTCGAACACCCTCCAAGCGGAACTCAGGAGGCAAGAGATGCAAAGCCAAGAGGTAGATCACCGGAAGCATGATCAAAGCCTTGGAGCCAAATCCAGCGACTTTCGATATGCGATATACGACCATTCTTTGAGTCTTCGTTGAAAGATGAAAGAATTCAAAGTGCTGTTTACTTTGACACGATTGACACGCTAGACCACCCGACAGAGACACCAAGCAAGGGCATTGCAGAAGGGGCACTGGCATTGCAATGCACAAATTGTTTTTCTTTGACCCGTTTGACCCCTCCTGGGCATTGCCATGCAGCAGTGAGAACCAGCTGAAGCTTCAGCACCCACTCGATGTCCTTCTCCTCTCGGACTGGCGAAATGTTGGTGGCCTCAATTTGGCATCCATGAAAGTGGCGAGGCACGGCGAGGAGGATGTGATTATTCCAGACAAACATTCAAGACATTGGGAATACACTGGGATGATTGGGATGTGACCATATGTGACCTGCTTCTGGGAAGGAATCGACAGAATCTCAAATCCCACAGTTGAATTCACTTGAAGCAAAGGCATGCAAGGGCAGCTACCAGGTCTGGCAATCGACGCAAAAAGGTCTGCTGTCAAGTCGCGTAGAAGCCACACAGGACACAAATGACAATGCCAGCTGCGGAGATGGAAACTGGGAAGAGCATTGCGTTCCATCCAGCATCAAATAGGGTCGCATCGCTCCTAAGGCGGCGACTGTGTGGCACTGTCTTTTCTGCTAAGCAACAAACAAGATGAAGCCCACGAACCCGAATGCTCACACGTATGTTAATGGTACAGATGTCAATACACATGGTTATGCAGTCACGCACAATACCTTTCTGCAATAGTTTATTTGAACAGTCTTGTACATGTTTCCCTTGTTACCAGTCTGCAGTGTGGAGTGGAAAGTGTAGAGTGTGGAGTGTGGAGTGTAAAGTAAGGAGTGTGGAGTGTAAAGTGTAGAGCGGGGAGTGTAGAGTGTGTAAAGTGTAGAATGCGGAGTGTAAAGTGTAGAGTGTGGAGTATGGAGTGTAAAGTGTAGAGTGTGGAGTGTAGAGTGTGGAGTGTAGAGTGTGGAGTGAGGAGTGTAAAGTGCAAAGTGCAAAGTGTGGAGTGTGGAGTGTAAAGTGAGGAGTGTAAAGTGTGGAGTGAGGAGTGTGGAGTTTGTAAATTGTAGGGTGCGAAGTGTAGAGTGTAAAGTGTAGAGTGTAAAGTGTAGAGTGTGGAGTGTAGAGTGTAGCGTGTGGAGTGTGGAGTGGAAAGTGTAGAGTGTGGTGTGTAGAGTGTGGAGTGTGGAGTGTAAAGTGTGGAGTGTAGAGTGTGGAGTGTGGAGTGTAAAGTGTAAAGTGTGGAGTGTAAAGTGTGGAGTGTAGTGTGGAGTGAGGAGTGTAAAGTGGAAAGCGTGGAGTGTAAAGTATAAATTGTGGAGTGTAGAGTGTGGAGTGTAGAGTGTAAAGTGTAGAGTGTGGAGTGTGGAGTGTAAAGTGTGGAGTGTAAAGTCTAGAGTGTGGAGTGTGGAGTGCAAAGTGTGGAGTGTAAAGTGTGGAGTGAGGAGCGTAAAGTGTGGAGTGTGGAGTGTAAAGTGTGGATGGAGTGTGGAGTGTGGAGTGGGAAGTGTAGAGTGCGGAGTGTGGAGTGTAAAGTGTGGAGTGTGGAGTGAGGAGTGTAAAGTATAAAGTGTGGAGTGTGGAGTGTACAGAAAAGTGTGGAGTGTGGAGTGCGGAGTGTGGAGTGGAAAGTGTAGAGTGTGGAGTGCGGAGTGTAAAGTGGGAAGTGTGGAGTGTGGAGTGAGGAGAGTAAAGTGTGGAGTGTAAAGTGTAGAGTGTGGAGTGTGGAGTGGAAAGTGTAGAGTGTGGTGTGTAGAGTGTGGAGTGTGGAGTGTAAAATGTAAAGTGCGGAGTGTAGAGTGTAAAGTGTAGAGTGTGGAGTGTGGAGTGTGGAGTGTAAAGTGCAGAGTGTAGAGTGCAAAGTGACGAGTGTAAAGTGTGGAGTGAGGAGTGTAAAGTGTGGAGTGTGGAGTGTAAAGTGTGGGGTGTGGAGTGTAAAGTGAGGAGTGTAAAGTGTGGAGTGTAAAGTAAGGAGTGTGGAGTGTAAAGTGTGGAGTGTGGAGTGTAAAGTGTAGAGTGTGGAGTGGAAAGTGTAGAGTGAGGAGCGAGGAGTGGAAAGTGTAGAGTGTAGTGTAAAGTGTGGAGTGTGGAGTGTAAAGTCTCAGGTGAGGAGTGAGGAGTGTAAAGTGCAAAGTGTAAAGTGTGGAGTGTAAAGTGTAGAGTGTGGAGTCTAAAGTGTAAATTGTGGAGTGTGGAGTGTAAAGTGTACAGTAGAGTGTGGAGTGCGGAGCTTCCCCCATAGACACGGCGACGCCACAGGAAAACGAGAGAGTCGCGACAAGACACGTGGATGCAGAAAAAAATAGAAAAAACAGCATTTCGTGCGAGACTTCCTCCAATTTTGCAATTTTGTGAACATCATCAAACAGGTTGGAATGTCAAAAAGTGCCACGTCTGCCACGCAAAACAACATGACAACCTGCTTGGAAACATTCGAAAAGGACAGGTTTTCCAGCTTCTCCCATAGACACGGCGACGCCACAGAAAAACAAGCGACTCGAGACAAGACACGTGGATGCAGAAAAACCAGCATTTTGTGCGAGACTTCCGGCAATTTTCACAGTTGGCAACACGACAAAAAGACAAGTTTTGCAGCTTCCCCCATAGACACGGCGAGGCCACGGGAAAACCAGACACGCGAGAAGAGACAGGTGGGAGCACCAAAACGAGCATTTCGTGCGAGACTTCCTCCAATTTTCACACTTTGCAGCTTCAAAATCGACGTTTTCCTACGAGTTTTCCTTAGAACCCGAAAATTGGCAACATCAAAATCGATGTTTCGTGCGAGGCCTCCGTCAATTTTCAGCACATCGCACAAAATGCCACGCCTGCCACGGAATTTGCACCTTGTCACCACTTGACGCAGCCCTGCCAATGCGATTTACAAAAAACACGCAACAGGACACGTCTAAAGTGCTGCGCCTGCCACGAAAAATGACGATGGACACGTCCAAAGTGCTGCGCCTGCCACGAAAACTGCAACACATCTTCTGAAAACGTCGCAAAAGTATTGCGCCTGCCACGCAAAACGACTTTCGACACGTTCCAGAACACGTCTGAATGTCACGAAGTGCCACGCCTGCCACGCGAAACGAAGCAACGACACGTCTGAAACCTCCAAAAAGGACCACCTCTGCAAAACTTCCCATAGGCACGGCCATATGGTCCTCGCGCGGACGGTTGCGGACGGTTGCGGACGGTTGCGAACGGTTGCGGACGGTTGCGACCGTGAACGCAACGTCTAGCGAACACACCCTCAACCCCCAGACCCCAGAGTGAAACGGAAACCCTTGCTACGCATTCGGGAAAAATATCGCCATAATACGGAGAAGAAACTGGTGACATGAAACGCAAAAAGGCTTCGGCCGCAATGGTTGGTTCCAATTCGTCAAGAATAATCTTATGAGTCTTTGGAAACCTGCCAATCAATCTAGGTAGCACCATATCCATGCATACACTCCCTAAGCCCCCCAAACATTCCCAAATAGGTTCCATCATCCAGCAATTAAGTAATTTTGCAAAGCAGCAAAACCAATGCTGTTTTCTGGTCTCCACACTTCATGATTCCCGCCACACCATGGTCCCCGATGGCCCCACACTGCATGATCTGTTGATCCGTTGGACCAAGATCCAAGTCACCCCTGCACGGCAGCAGCGGCGATGACCAGAGCGGCGCAGGTGCTTTCGGCAAAGGAACCGAACAAATCGGCGCCCATCCCGGCGATGTCGCCCACGTTGTCGCCCACGTTGTCCTCAGCACAGCGATCGACAACGTAGCCATCATGACACGGTAGGACACCCATGACACCCATGAACACCCCGTGCCATTCTGTGCCCCACAACGAAACGAAGAAAACGGTCTTGGGAATCAAATTTCTTCACGGACCTCATCACCTCATTGCTTGTGTTGTTGAGCTGCTTGTGGCAAAGCAGTTTGAAGATGTTTGAAAGACCTTGCTCAAAGACGCTGCCCTTGCAACTCCTGCCAATTGCCAATCTGAAGAATCTGACATAATCTTACGTATATAAACATTATAAACTTACATCATGCAGGGCCCATGTGGGGAATGCCATGACATCACGTCATCTTTTTGACGCGAAAGGGATCGGCAAGGGACCGCGATGGTTGCAGGGTTGTTGGGATCATCCTCATCGAGGCCAGCCACGACCTGGACATTGGCGGAGAATCATGGAGCAATGGCGGCAATGGCAGCAGTGGTGCAAGTATTGCAATGTGGATCCATGATGATCCCACTTTGATTCTCCACACTGTCAAACGGAAAGGACGACCGGACATGGCATGCCATGTAAACTTGCAAGCCATGGGGCAATTGAATGCAAAATAAATGCAATGAATGCAATTGGTGCAAATCATTGGAAATCTACCAATCATCCTTGTGTCTGCAAGTTGTTGCTGGATGGGAGCTGCCAGAGGTGATCTTTTGACCACATCTTGCCTGAACAGAATAATTAACAAGCTTCCCTTCCATTTCGGGCCAACATGGGCCAAACAGATCCATCCTTCAAAACGAGCATCCTGAAAGATCCTGAAGGATCCTTGATCCATCTTCATTTTGACCCCAGCGAGCAGAGAAACATGAGAAATCATGAGAAACTTTGACTTTGAAACCCTTCCCAGGAACGCACCTTGCCCACCAAGTCAGCGCCGACATCTGCGGCCTGGATGGCTGCTGTGCGATGAAAGCGTCTTTGTAAAAAGAAACATAGTTCAACAGTTCCTCACAATTTAAAACATTTATAATATTTTAATATATTTTATAATCTTTAAAATTCTTTAAATATGATGGCTCTATGGTGGGTTGGGATGCTCCAGTTTGGGGTGCCTATCGTTCTCCAGTGTCTTGAGCCCATGCCAGCTCTTTTTTGAGCAGTCCCTAGTCTTAAGTCTTACTTTCAATTAGCCTATCTTTGCTCTGACCGCACTTTAGCGTCGCTACCTGCTTGCAGTAGAGCTTTTGCCGAGACTCGAACGAGACATTTTGTAGTCACAGCAAGTCAAGCGCAAAGCGGCACAATCAGTGCACTGTGATGAAAGTGTCATGGCCATCCATCCGAAAATGTCACCAAAAAATATGCCAGTTGACTTTGTTGCTGTTCAATCGTTCAATCCAGCGGCGTTTTGACACCGATCTTCACAACTGGCCTTGGTGTAGATGCCGCCGCCCACACGGCCGAACATGGCCACCGTACTGCCACCCAAGCCATATCCTGCAGCGCAGTCGAAGAGGATCTCCCAGTCATCAGGGTCGGGGTAGACCTGGGACCAAACATGACCAAAGCGCTCACATGGAGAACACGCAGAAATGCAAAGCAATGAAAAGCAATGCAAAGTAAAAGGCAGAGCAATCTGTCCCTTGACACTTGGCCATCCTTGGACACATGTTTTTCGTTTGCGGAAGCAACTCTTTCTCTAGCCAGGCTTGCAGAAATTCAATGAAATTCCCGCACATGCAACTTTTTCAAGGACCTTCAGCGACCTTCAGCTTCAGCCGTGGTACTGATCGGAAGAAGGTCAAGAGGGCCCAGAGGACAACCTGCACCCATCAGCACGCTCAACAAATCCAGAGGAAAAGTCTTGGACAACTTTCTCGAGTTGGCTATGGCTCCTTAAGACTAGGATGAGACGTTGGCTTAGTTTAGTTCTACTTTATATGGTTCTGAAGAGATGACAGCAACTCGTGCAAGTAACAGCCCAAGCTGCTGAACTCTGCCATCATGTCTATCACATCCTAATGTCCTAATGCTTCTCAAACTTTACAGTGGTGGTGAGGTAAATCGATCTGATCCCAACAAAGTTCCCATGAAGTATCAATACTGAGAACTTGTCAAACGCATGGATCGACGAAGGATGTGTAATTCATTAAATATGATTGAATGGAGTTTCTAATGGTATTACATGAAACCTAATGAATCAAATCATGTCTGAACCTGTTGATGTCATCTGCCGAGCTGCCACTCCCAAGGAGCACAAGGCATAGCCCATGACGCTGCCACCACGGAAGGCAGTGTTGAAGCCCAAGGTGTAGCCTTAGTCGAGTCATACAGGTGCGATCCAACACCGATAAGAAACGCAAACATGTATATATATATATATATGTGAAGAAATGCGGACTTTAATACCGTTCATGTACTTTAGCTTAGTGCTTTGGACGTTTCATTTGTAGAATCATGCATATTCCGTTTGAGATTCCATGCTTCTTGCCATGCGTATTGAAGGAGTACATAACACCAGCACGCAGTGTGACAGTCTGTGGCAGTATGTGGCAGTGTGCTATTAGTTTAACGTCCAAACCCGAGGTTCAAACTGCACAGCACATACCACAGCGGTCACAGCGTCACAGCTTGGCTTCGGCCAATTTCGGCCAGGTAGCCATGGTTGGCACATGCCAATGTGGTGCGGGCGTTGGAGTAGGTAGCAATCCTGGACAAGTTGTCAGAAAATTCTCGCAGCAACAAATACAAACCGAATTCATTTCCTTTGCGAAATCATGCATGGTCCATCAACTCTTCTGAGCTAATAGGTCAGTTGATTTGGCCAAGAATAATCAAACTCCATCAAACTTGAGATCACTTCCTTTGACATGTTATTCTGTTTCGAAACTCACTGTCCTAGACATGGAGAGTTAAACAATGTTAAACAGTTAGGCCCAGTTAGGCTGATTTCACAGACTTGTTCCATCTTGTTCCAAGACTCATCATTCCGAGGAATCCGCACAACATCGAGGTCACAGCACCAGTCAGGAAGGCTCCAGCAGTCAACATGCCCTGGGTGGAGCTCTTGGTTCCCCAAGAAACCTGCACAATGCGACGTGGCGTCACGTGACCAGGACGTGTCACTACATTTGTACACGTTTGTCATGAGTTTTTCACCCGTCACTGTTGAAGTCACTTTTGTAGTCACTTCAAAATTTGTAAACCGCACTTCTGTGTGAATCTCTCCGTTTCATATTGAAGTCCATGAGAACGTCCCATGTGCACACCATGAACCTGCGAAGTGTCAATGAAAACGACCTCTGTTGAATCAAGGCATTGAAGAACTAGTTGATGTCTTGGTGATCCTCACAACCACCTAGACTCCGCCCTAGGCGGTCTAGAATTCTGGAATATTCTAGATACGTCTAGATATGTCGATCTAGACGGTCGAAACGGTAGAAGATTGTATCATATTGTATCATATGTATCCTTCGGAACCGTCGAACCGTCCAAGGCTGCTAAGGCTGCTAAGGCTGCTAAGGCTAAGGGACCAAGCCATAAATGACGCAGGAGAACAGCACACAGAATGTGGTGCAAATGGCATACTCCACTTTCAGAAACCTCAGAAGCTGAAAGCAACATCTGATGACACAACAGGATTTTTTTCTAGCATCTTGTAGCCCTTCTCAATTTAAAGTTGCGATTCTTTAGTTTTGACCATTTTTTTCTTTTGCTCCTTTTGATCATGTTTGCACATCTTTGCTCCACTGTTATCCTTTCCAAATGTCTTGTCAGCTGCCGAGATTCTGCTTGGCACCACTCATGATTTTCCCATAGATCTCAGGAACCAGCTTCCTCTGCGCTTCCAGGTCCCTCTCCAACTGAAAACCCCTCTCTGACATCGACATCTTTGACGTCTTTGTTAAGGCTATGGATTTCACATGGTTTCACCCACTACTTTCTTCAAAATGTCAAGGTGCAGGATTTCATCGAAGGCTCGAAGGTTCTTTGTAAAGCTTAAGATCAATCACACAATCTCCTCCAAACATCTCCAAACTCCAAACATCTCCAAACCCCAAATGGCAATGATTGAGCCACAGCTGAATCAGGTCTGAATCATGGGAATCATGCTGCTGTCAACCTGCGAATCATTTCGAATCGCTGAGTCGCTCTGGATCTTCGGAGGTCAACGTCTGTGACAAACCCTCGGCAGGACCCAACTTGATCTTCCTCGGATGAGATCAGCGATGTTCGATGCTGCCTTTGATTCAATTCGGTCCCACAGTACGGTTGTGAATATTTTGTCCTGTTCATGTTGCATTGTGCGAATTGGACAATGCAGTCGTCAAGTTGCGCCAATGTCTGAAGTGTCATGCCTTGTCTGGACCTGCCTCTACAGACCGTATTATGCGGCCGCGTGGATTTTGGCTGATTTGGATTGACACCTCCAAATAGGATCACTGTTCAAGTCCAACTTGAAATAGGTCATGTTTCAGGATATTTCACGATGTCGTATAGACATGATACGGAAATATTGTGTAGCAAACACAACGGATAGCGGATACGCTGTGGATCACCAGGGCAACCTTTGAAGCAAGTCTCTGGATCACCGTAAACTGCAAAAGTGCCACCAACAAGCCAAAGGCACCTGGGCCCACGCAAGTCTCAATTGCGGTCCATGGGACATGGTTTTCAAAATGTGGGCAATCTTAGTTGCTACATGAAGCTCAGTTTTTGAAGTTTGAGTATGATGCAAATTTATGCAAAATGATGCGCAATAATTTGCTATACCCCTGTAACGCTTATAACTAAACTTTAAAGCGTGGCAAAACTGCAGGCCAAAGGGGGCGGCAACGCCTGCGGCAGAAATCTAGAAATTGCGGGTCAAAATAGCGGGCCACCCTCCAGCCACTTTTCTCCGAACTAACTCTTGCAGCTCTCCCAGGCCCATCCCCAACTGTTTCCACGCAGGTTCTCCCAGGAAATCCCGGAAACCCCACAAAAGCGCAGAAAATAACACCCAGGTTCTCCCAGGAAATCCCGGAAACCCACAAAAACGCAGAAAATAACACCCAGGTTCTCCCAGGAAATACCGGAAACCCACAAAAACGCAGAAAATAACACCCAGGTTCTCCCAGGAAATCCTGGAAACCCACAAAAACGCAGAAAATAACACCCAGGGAAATCCCGGAAACCCACAAAACCGCAGAAAATAACACCCAGGTTCTCCCAGGAAATCCCGGAAACCCACAAAATCGCAGGAAATCACTACTTTCCTGGGAGAACCTGGGAGAACCTGGGAGAACCTGCAAGTTGGGATTGACCTGGGCAGACTTAGGCGGACCTGGGCCGACCTGGACGGGGGTAGCCTGAATAAACCACGCATATGTAAACCAGAGCAGAATTGGAAAAAACACCACTAACGAATAGTGCTGAGCCAACACCGTTTTGATATGTATCCTGCACCATTCAAAAACCAGTTTCAACACCCAGAAACCTTCCAAAATTAAAACCCAGGCACCAGAATCCTGATTTATATTATATGCATTACAGGGGTTTATCAAACAATAATGCAAATGCTTGAGATAATTTCAGGAAATTTACCGAGGCACTAGAGGCTAGAATGATCTTGTCCACCAAGACCAACTCCTTGGTCAAGCATCGCGTCTGTCGAGCAGGGTTGCGACTTGTCTTAAGTCGAAAACGGTTACAATTGTCCGAAAATTAAGTCTCTTGAAAACCATTCGTTTGAGTATGGTTCCCTGCAGAATCATTTGTCTGGTTTGGATTGCCATTGTTTTTTTGCCACTTCTTGTCCAGCTCAAGGACCCATCAAAGGAGGCATTTTTTGTCGGACAGTCGGCGATGTTTCACTGTGGTCTTTCCAAGGCCCAGGTGCAATCATTTTGTTGAACGTCAATAATACCTCGTCAGATGCACCGTGGAAGCAAAATCCTGAACCCAAAATGCTGCGGATGATGCAGTGTTCCTGTGGAAATGCATCACAACATTTCACATGTTTGTGGCACTATATGCAGCATTGAACAGGCGTTCGTAGTTGTTTTTCGCTAATGCCCACAAACATCAGAAACAAGTCGGCGCAAAACAAACACTATGCATTTTAACGTTGGTATTGTTTACCGTTGGTTGACGTGTTTTTCAATTCAAAACAAATGGAGAAACAAATGCAGCAACGAAAATGTGACCGCGTACGAGCACGAGAAAAAAACAATTTGATAGCTGCAAGGTCCAACGCATGTTGCAAAGCATGGATGCATCACTACAGTCACCATCGCCTCTAACACGTGTCTCCTCCGCAGGAATTCCTTCACGAAGGATCCTAACGCAATTTCAAAACACGACGTGTCGACTCGAACAAACCAGAAAGACAGGAATTGCCTCAACGAACGTTTAAAAATCCTTCTTGGATCGAAATCACAAACAATGGCGTTTGACGGTGCTTGCATGGGTTTGCTCTTGCAAGAGTTGTGGACGCTCAAGGTCGGCCTTTTACCGTGTGTTTTGGCCAAAGGCGGGCACAACGCCTTTGAAAATGCACCCATCTGTCTGCGCACGAGTTTGCGTTTGAGTCAACTTGACACGGCAAACGTGTTCAGTGCGGACGAGGAACTTTCCAAGATGTTGACAAGAGGCTCTTCATGATCAGGGCGACATGAAGGTTCAGCAAACCTGCCAAGCCCGCCCGATTCTTCTTGTAGATGTTCGCTGGGCTGAGAGAAGAATTGGCGCCCTTTGCCCCCCCAATGAATCTGCCGCGTCAGAAGCAAAGATCACTGTGAAGGATGGCGCGCGGTTGTCTGGAGCTGGCCGCTGCCTTTTCAAGGTCTGCCCAGGCAAAAATAAATTGCTCTGGTCTCAAGCATAGGTTACAGGCCTTGTCCTCGTGTTTGGTTGCGCCCGCGCTTTTGGTGGCTTTGCCGCGGGGGCGGCTGGGCTTTGCCCGCGGGTTTTTGCGCGCTTTTGGCTAGCGCCCTTTTTCGGCGCGCTTGCGGCGTGCGTTTAATGCGCGGTGTTGCTGGGCGACGGTCGAATTTCAAAGCGAGTTTTGTCGTTCATCCTTCATCCGTCCAGATTGCCACACCGTGGGGTTGACAAGCGAGATAAAATCTAGAGACCCAAAAAAAATAAAAGCTTACTTCGAGTGATCCCCACCCTGCAACTACAGCATCAAATCCGTTCAGTGACAGGGATGGCAAGGTTTGTTTTGTAGCACTTTGTCGTCATCACAAGCCCAACAGCTTCAAAACATGGAACCAAACACCAGGGTCCACAAATGTTCGATTCAGCCGCAGCTTGGCCATACACATGATGCCCAAGTGAAGCAATTCAAATACTTGGATCCAAGTTGCCAGCATGATCCAGCATGAACAATGACAATAAGTGCAACTTCGAAGATATGTTCAATTCCCCCTACTTTTGGACCCTGGAAAAGTCGGGCGAGACAAGCCCCTGTCTTGACCAACAACAAACACACATGGGATGCCAATAGTAGGCTTTAATGTTTTCCCCCAAGCCTCCGGTTTTTATCAGAGCCCTAGCTTCAACCAAATTATAAAGGAATCCGTTGCTGCTGAAGCAATCCGTTGCTGCTGAAGCGACCCATCACTGCTGTTTTTTAATTCCAAAGACAGAACAGCATTGTGCTTTGGCCGGGTAGATTTCTGGCAGTTGCTTTCCATCTTGAATCGATTCATCCCAAGAACCCTCCCAAATCACAAACTGGTATAGATATGCTCTGTTTTTGGGGTGTCTGATTGGCAACAGCTGTGGGCACTACAAAATGTAACCAGAAACGCCTCTACAAAGCAAGTATCACCCAATCGGTCCTTCATAAAACTGATTCCTTGACCCTTTGTCACTTCAATGCTTTCTAAAATGGGCCCTCTACAGTATAGAAATCTGCTCGCATGCATGAAATTGCATGAATGTCCGCAACCAAAAAAGAAATCTATCAACTCAGGACCCATCGACAAATCTCACATCAAGTATGCTGCACAGTATGCTATAGTATGCTAGAAAAAACTCTGTTTCTGGCGTACTGGATGCTCTATAAGATCAAGTTGCCGACCCCTTCACAAGTTTGAATCTCTACATGAAAGTGGTTCCCCACAGAGAGTTTAGTGTCTTTTCCCCTGTGATCTACCAGTTATACAACTGTTGACCATGTCAATCTGATGTGTTTCAAACCCTGATTGGAGCCCCGCAAGTCCATGTTCTCGGGAAACTTCATGGAACATCTGTCAATTCCGTCCTTTTGGAAAGGCATGGAAGGAAAGGATATATGGCTGACATGGCTGATAGAATTCCAATGGGCGAAACTATTGAGAACCTCATACACTGTTTACTGAATCAGCGCACTTATTGTTGATGAATATAAATAGTTTCAATATGTTTCAATGGAAGCAGAAACATGAAGTTTGACCAAACAAGCACTCCTCCACAGAAATCAGTCCAAATAGTTGGACATGACTTCTATGGATTTCCTCCCCAACCACAAAGTCAAGAAGTGGTGCTTGGGTGTTTGGTTCTGGTGTCAGTACAGAATCAGAATCTACACAATGCAGGGCCCATAATTTTCCTGAACCCAAACTTTAAAGACAATGCCCAATGAGGTGGCGTAAGGTCATTCCGGTCATTCCGCGGGTGGAATAGTGCATTGTGGACAATGAAATAGGTTAGCAAATGCCAGCAGTAGTCAAGTATGAGTCCAGTATCAGTCCAGTATGAGTGACCTGTCTTGAAAGTGACGAATGTTCACTCAGTTTTCCTCCAAATGCATAGCAATTGAATGTAATTAAGCAGTTGACAGAAATCACTATCACTATTGATATCTATTGATATGCTTTCTTACATTTTCTTACCAGCCTTGGACTTTCTTGACTCTCTTGGATCGGCTCCTTCCAACTTGCGCAAAATCACGAAAGAACTTCAATGAAACGTGCATGACCTGACAAAATGTCTTGAGTCTTGATATAATAAATACAGTTCTAAAATCATCCGAAAATCAGCAAGAAAATCCAAGAATGATAAGAATGCAAAAAGTAACGCCACAAATCTGGGGAAAAAACGGCTCTATGAACTTCCGCACTCTGGTATTTACTGCTGATTTCTTTGAGCAGGCAACCATGATAGAAGCTACCGGTTGTCCTGAGATTCGACAGAGTGTGTTGCATCCCTGTGCGTCAGCATGGCTGTTATGGTCTGCGATGTTTTTCACTATGCTGAAAGCATCTGAAAGCATCTGAAAGCGCGTTGCATTCACACTGGCAACTGACATCTTTTTGCACTTCAACAGGGAACCATTATGAAACATGAAGTGAAACATGAACATAGCTACTGAATATGCTAAACATGTGTTAAACTGTTGAAGTGAAGCGCACCATCCCTGGTCCACGGAGGCCACAGGGACGCACACGACACTGCTGTCAGCCTTGATTCTGCAACTGTTCGTACATGAAACGGTATGAAACAACATACGCCATCCATCCATATTGTTTCCAAACTGTAAAGACATATAAAGACTATAACATATTATACTAACTACATAATATATTATATCACAATATATATATTATATTAAATGTGCTTTTCTTGGAACGCCGGTCAGTTGTAGCAAGCTTCATGCACCTCGGTGTTTTTATTACCTTGCTGAGGGCTGACTTTCACCTTGCTAGGTTTGACCAAGCTGGACTGAGGTTGATGCGCCATCTGTGGTGCTCCAGGGAGTGATGGCCATCGGGAACATGATGACAGCACCTGTCACATGCTGTGGTTCATTCCATGGCCAAGGTCACTCAGTAGTTTAACAAAACAAAGGAAACAAACCATAGTTAAAGTCCAACTGCATCAGTTTGCATGGTCGTCAATGCACCATTCTGGAAGTTGTTCGTTTTTGATAAACTCGACAAGCACATGTGCCATACTGCAACGTGCCATGGCCAAGATCAACCCTTCCTCCTGCATATCTCAGAATTGTGGAACAGGCTATCTCTTCCGGGTTGACACTTTGGCAAGTTGGGACAGCTTCACTATGTTGGGTGCTTGCAAAAGTCAACTACATTTGGTCATCATTCGCAGTGGTTGGATGTGGTAAATCGTTTGCATTCTTTAGGACTCAGATGGACTCAACGTGATTCAACAAGTCAGAGGCGAAAAATGAGAGCCGGCCTGGAACCTCTAGTGATGGCCACGTCACCATTAGGGGCATTGCCATGCCTAGCAGCCCACTTTGAGGGGGCATGAATTAATTGCTCCAACCAAACCTTCCCATCGGGAATTCAGAGGGCTGGATTGTGTCAGGGATGCGACGATAGGACAATGAATCCTTGGGCAACGATGAGTTTGAAGGCAACAGCCCATGTTGCGCAGGTTGTGTGCCATCCCCAACCAGTTCTCAACCAGTCCGCGCCTTCCGAGTTTGTGGTGCCTTGGTTGGCCCTTCAGCGACCCAGGCTTCCACGAGATCCGCAAGCTGGCCAGCGCAACCGAATGACCTGTTGTGCTTGGCCACAACTGTTCCAAAACTCTGATGTTTTTTACTGAGATCATGGCGAAGCACATAACATTTAACCAGAACGTTGCCCAAAACAAATGCTGAGCAACAAGCCTATTTAATTTTCCGTTTTGGAAAGGGAATAAGACACATATTATCACATATTCTCTCTATACAAGGAGTGTGCTGAACATCTTGCAATGTTCTGGCGCTCTGTCAATGAGCTATGTTTTTGTTAAGAAATGCTTCATGATGATTTTCAATCTTCTATGTCTTGTCGGGGCACCGTGCATTGTGCACGGCGTCTGAGCCCACAAATGCGGGAATCGGCGTGATGGTGGCAACATGTGGTAACAAATGAAGCACATATTAAAACACTTCAAACACGAACAGCAACGCAGCGAAATGAGCCGGAAGATCCGGAAGTAAGCCTTGCATTGTTCTCTTGTGAAAATGAGTCATGATAGTCATGAACACTTGATTAATACCAAGGTATCCTTCATGATCTTGGTGCCAAGTGTTTCAGCGCATTTTCTTGCGAAAGAGCCAATCCTCGATCAACACATAATCCAAATCAGGAAGGTCGTCAAGCATTTTGAGGCATTCTTTCACGGTGTTGACAATCGGTTTACCTTTGGAATTGAAACTCGTATTGATGAGTGCAGCTAAACCAGTCCTCTTCCCCACGGCCAACAGAAGCGCATGGATCCAGGGTTCATCTTTGGCTCCTACCGACTGATGTCGTGCAGTGCCATCCACATGTGCCAAGGCCGGGAAGCGTTCACGGACCTCCTCCTTCACCTGAGGTGCCATGGTCATGTAAGGAGACTTCGGTGCTGACGGACCAAAGACCTCCTCCAAGGCTTCATCTGCAATCATCGGTGCTACGGGGCGATATGACTGTCGTGCTTTCAGCTGATTCATCCGATCCTTGATGTCGTGTGAATCCGGAACTGCCAGAAGAGATCGATGACCGAGGGCCCTGGGCCCAAACTCTTGTCGACCAAGGACTACAGCTATGATGGGTTTCACGCTCAGATTTTCAGGGCTTTCACTTTTCCAGGCTTCACCTCCAGCTAGCAAATCGGCCAAGTATTCAACGCCACCAAGCTCAGTCAATCGCTGGGCTTGCCGACTACTTGCAGCTTCATCCAATAAAGCGAGGTCAAAGAGACGAAAGCCCAGGTATTGCAGCGGTTGGGGAAAGAATGGTGGCATCACAGACCAAAGGGCACCCACTACAATGCCGCCATCGTTGCTTGCTGGTGGAACATACAGGGAACGTGGAAGGTTAGGATGAACGCCATCCACATCTGTGAATCTATCAAAAATGCGTTGGTTGGCCAAAACGTTTAAGGCACAGCCTCCAGTCAACACGATACCTTCCAAGGGCTGCGGAAGAAGCATTGTGACAGATCGAAAAAACTTCTCGAAGAGTTCTTCCACATAATCGGTCCATTCCGCCTGTGCTGAGGCAGCCAATGTCCTTTGGGCCTCGGTCCCTGTGCATGCAAAGTGCCTCAACCAGGTGAAGGCCTCCTCCATAGCCGTTTCGTTTAGGACATAACTACGGATGTATTGCTTGGTCCAAAACTGCACCTCCGGATCGGGCGAAACCAGGGCGGAGTAACCCATGAATTTCCCAGCATAACTGTGGATCACTTTGCCCGTAGCATCCACTGTGTTGGGCAGGCCATGCATTTCTGCAGCAGTCTCTTGCAGGGTGTATGGAGTGATCTCTCTCTCCGAACAAACCACAGGGTTCTTGGGGCCCTTAGCTCCAGTTACCTCGGGAAGTAAAACTGCAAGCATATTGTATGCCATACCTAAATTGATTGGCAGTTTGGCTACGAATTTCATTTCCAGTCCAAGGCCCACATAGAAGTTGAAAACACCATCATTTCCACCCGCATCGTATGACATAATGATGGCTGAACGAAAGGGTGAAGCATAGAAGCCTAGTAGGGCGTGGGAACGGTGATGATTGGCAAAACGCCATGTCACTTCTTGGCCCAGCAGTGGCTCTACGGCATCCTTAAGAACTTCATATTCACGATACTCCAAGTTGTCCAGGACAGCATAGTGGATTTGTTGAGGGCAGTCTCCCTCACATTCACATCCTTCTAGAACTGCTTTCAATGCAACGAACCAAGTCTCACCAAATTCAGCTTCACTCATGTGGGAGGTGGTGTGACCACCCAAGTAGAAATATCGTATTTCAAACCAGCGCTCCAACTCAAGCACGCATTGCACGCGACCTCCAACACCAATGGCGATACTTGCATCATGTCCTCCATGGAAAGCAATGACGGCTGGTCGTCGGCCAGGCGCTTCGTTGTCCTGAGGAAAGAACTTGCCAAATTCATCACTCATCTCGCCAAGGGTCTTTTTGTCGCCATCTGGACTGAACAATAATCCCTTCTGCGGTTCCCAGAGTATGGGAATGCCGGCCTCATCAATTTCATAATCGTAACTGCGCACACTGGGTAGCAACAAAAGTATGCAAATCCGTAAGCAACGCAGGTGACAAACCATGGTCTCTTCACCTCGCGCAGGGCCACCCCTGGCACGCTAGATCGCCATCAAATAATCAACGCAAAACATACTTAGATTTTCAATGCATGTCTATTTGTTTTATTTTGATGTTTAATGATATTTACAAGACTTGGTGCTTTGAGAAAGAGATTATGATTGGAGCCTATACCATTCAAGCAGGGTTGACCAAGACTGACTTTGCAGAGCAATCACATTGAAGTTAGTTTCCGGAAAACACAGTGGAGTCACACAGGCCAAGGACGAGAGAAATTGCCCCGATTCAGAATTTCTTGTGATGTTCTTCTGCTCTCGGGATGCGTTTTGTCTCTAGGCGCTTCATGTTTAATCTTCTATGCCTTGTCGAGGCACTGCACGTTGTGCAGAGTGTCTGAGCCCACAAACGCGGAAACAACAGGTATCTTGTTGCAGGAACACTGGTGGCCAGCGATGGCTGACAAACAAATGGAGCTCAAAGATGAAAAGCAATGAACAACGGGAAACAAAGACAAAGCTCCCATCTTTGGGCCATCACTTGCCCTCACTTGCCACCCCATTGCAGCGACGTGTACCACATGCCATGCGCTGTTTTCTCCGCTGAAGACACTTTCGGTGGTTTTGCCGATGCGACTATCCTCCAAGGCTTCACGAGCCATGTGACAAGTCGAGGCCCCAAATCGCGGAGAGGCCGCCAACTTATGATTTCTTGCGATTTCTTGCGATTTCACTTTTCCTGGTCGCAACTCCAAGCTGCGCGAGAACTCCAAGCTTTACTGGCTCCGTTGTAGCACAATCTCATAAGCGACGTTTAAGGCCGTTTGCCTGGGATTTCCAAACAAAACAACTGCCCTCCAACAAAACCACACTCACACTAAGCATCACTAAGCAAGTAATTGGCCTGATGTGCATAAGTCACTCAGATTCATCAGTCGGCTAACCTAGCAACAGACCAACTCGCACAAACTTATTCACTAGTCCATAGATAACTAAAGCAACATCATAGCACACATGCAAACATGTTTGAACAGTCGCCGCGCGAGAACTTGAAACAAATCACGAAGTGCGCAACACAAACACGCACAAATATCATCTTGACAATTGCCAAACAAAATCAAACAACGGCATTGATGATGGGTTATGATGGGCCATGGGTGAAGTATCTTGATCCCAGCAGCTTCTCTGCAAGAGAGCTATCGCTCAGAAGGAAATTCAGCGGCAAGTCCATGCCATGCCAGTTGTGATCATCCCATACCTGGCGAAGGGCGTAAGTTGACCAGAGATGATGAGTGTTGTCATGTGTCCTATTGTTCCCGCACCTTAATCAATCTGAATCATCCTAAAAACCGAACCGGCAAGGCCTCAATTTGCGCATGTTCCAGATATTTCGAGCTTATGGAATCTAACACGTGTCTTTTTCTCCCGAGTCTCTCAACTTCCCAGACGTATTAATCTACATTTGTTTGCCCTCTTTGGCTCATTGAAAGAGATATGATTGTGATATCAAATTGATATCAATGATATATTCCTGATATTTCCTGATATATTGAGATATTCTTACGAGTACTCTTGTCTTCTCACGTTCACTCTCGCGTTGGTATTTTCTGCCTCACGAAAGCTCACAGCTCGATGCCAGAAGGACGAGATTTCGCTGTGAGGTACCACGAAGATCTTGTGCTCTTTGGCCCAGGTGTCCAATACAAACTGCGCATTGATGTCCTATCAGTGGAATGCTAGTGGACTCAAGTCTTCCACGAATGCCAGAATCCAGAGTACATGTTTCAAAGCCTTCAACGTGCAAGAGTTGGCTGCAAAATTCGCAAGAATTGCCTATATTACTACACTATTTGTGATTGCAATTCTTGTCTCGCACATTGGACTCCCCTTGCTTTAAAGAAAATATATACATGCTCTGGAAAGTTTCTAGCACATCTGGCAGTTGCATTCCATGTGCGTTCCATGTGCATTTAGTCCTTGTCATAGCTCCACGAGAGAAGGGAATAGCCGTCGCCCAAAATAGAGAGCACTTGGCCAAGACTACAGCCTTTGGACATCACATCACTAGCACGCGCCTTGTTGAAATCGGCCTGGCCCACGTCAATGTATGGGAAGTTCACCTGGCATGGGAACTTCAACAAATGCTAAACGTCTAAACGTTGTGAAATTTCTATCCTCTTGACCAATTCTCAATGCGGCACACGGCAAAGAACAAGGTTTGGTGTTCTGAACAATAAACCACAATAAACCTAAGCAAACCAAATTTATACATCTAGGGAAGAAACAGGGCAAGATACTACTTGAGGTTCATGGGCGACCTATAGGTCGTGGGGTTGGGACGTGTTGGGATATGTGAATCTTGGGGCATTGTGAAGTGGAAAAATAAAAGGACCGGATAACCCCACAAGTCAACTTCTTCCAATAATCAGAAAAAGTGGTTGCAGTGGCACGGAGAAAGAAGAAAAGACAAAGGAGATGGTGGAGGGTCAATCATTTTAAAAGTTCTATTTCTATGTGAAGAGTTTTGTGTGAGAAAGTTGTGTGTCTGTGAAAGGGTTGTGTGTGAAAAGTTGTGAGTGAAAGAGTTGTGTGTGAAAGATTGTCTGTGACAAAGCTGTGTGTGAAAGATTGTGTGTGTGTGACAAAGTTGTGTGTGAAAGATTGCGTGTGACAAAGTTGTGTGTGAACGATTGTCTGTGACAAAGTTGTATAAAGTTGTGTGTGAAAGAGTTGTGTGTGTGACAAAGTTGTGTGTGAGTGACAAAGTTGTGTGTGACAAAGATGTGTGTCAGAGAGAAGTTGCATGTGAGAGAGATGTGTGTGAAAGATTGTGTGTGACAAAGTTGTGGGTGACAAAGTTGTGTGTGTGTGTGACAAACTTGTGGGTGACAAAGTTGTGGGTGACAAAGTTGTGTGTGTGTGTGACAAAGCTGTGGGTGACAAAGTTGTGTGTGAGAGAGATGTGTGTGAAAAAGTTGTGTGCGAAAGAGTTGTGTTTGACAAAGTTGTGTGCGATAAAGCTGCATGTGAGAGAGAGATGTGAAAGATTGTGCGTGACAAAGTTGTGTGTGTGTGTGTATGTGTGTGACAAGGTCGTATTTGAGAGAGATGGACCCGCTTGCAGCGTGGATGTCACCAAGTGCCACGCCTGCCACGCAAAACGAAGGTCTATGTCGCCAAGCGCCACGCTTGCCACGCAAAACGCCCACGCGCGCAGCAGCTCCTCCAGCAGCTCCTCCAGGAGGCTCTGTGTACCGCGCCTGCCACACGGCAGCCAGCCGCGGGCCAAGGGCGACCACGCGCGCAGCAGCTCCTGCAAAAGGCTCTGTGTACTGCGCCTGCCACATGAAAGCCAGCGGCGGCCCAGCGGCGCCCACGCGCGCACCAGTGAAGGCTCTGTGTACTGCGCCTGCCACATGAAAGCCAGCCGCGGCCCAGCGGCGCCCACGCGCGCACCAGCTCCTCCAGAAGACTCTGTGTACTGCGCTTGCCACACGAAAGCCAGCCGCGGCCCAGCCCCGACGCGCGCACCAGCTCCTCCAGAAGGCTCTGCGTATCGCGCATGCCACACAAAAGCCAGCTGCGGCCCAGAAGTGGTGTGATGAGTTGTGCTGTGACAAGTGGTGTGATGAGTTGTGCTGTGACAAGTGGTGTGATGAGTTGTGCTGTGATGAGTGCTGTGTGATGAGGTCGTGTGAGAGCTGCGCCTGCCAGACGAAGTGTTGTGATGAGTTGTGCTGTGTGATGAGTTGGATGTGATTGGATGTGAGATGTGTGTGATGAGTGGTGGTGTGTCGGGCGGACGCGGCGGGCGGACGCGGAAGGAGCGGCGGGTGCAAAGCGAAAAACAAGAACCGCACACAGTGATGTGGGGAACAATGAAGAATTGGGAGAAAGAGCGAGATTCAGCAAGTCTTTGGGAGCGCTGGAATCCGGGAAGTGAACCTTCAATGGTGCAAGATGGTGCAAGTGTGCTCCGATTTTCAAGGTGGAAAAAAAGTGGCCTGAATCTCCGGCGGGACAAAGGCGTGAATCAACTCCATTTCCACAAAGAGGGGTCGATAGCCTGCAGATAGCCACGCCTTCAGAAAATCACAATCACCATTGTCCTCCACAGATCTCCACAGCACACAGTTGCAAAAGTTCAAGCAAAGCACAAGCCAAACACGTGGACGGTGAAGTAATTTGAACTAATTGCCCCAAGAATTCCAAGGCATCCAAGGTATTCAAACGTGGGGAAACACATTTGCCGAAAACTATTCAGACCTATTAAGACCAGTCTAGATCAAAAGAATCAAATGACAAAATCCATCAAAATCCATGAATCGACACGTTTTTTATCAGTTTCTGTCCACATCGATCTTCAGAAACATCGGGAATGGCGATGAAGTCGGAGGCAGAACTCGCTCGAAGTTCCAGACAGCGCTGATAGCAGCACTCACCCAGCTTTCAGGCGCTAAGCATTGATTTATGATCTGCACATCCTTTCGATGAGCATAGGTCTCACGCAAATTTTGACTATGTTGGTAGTTGCACTCTAACATAATACCTGACCAACCCCTCTGAATGAGACAGCTTGCTGAGTCCAAACAACCGGCCATTTCAGATGCGCCCAAATTTACCACATAGCTTTGTAAACCTGACAGATTCGAACTGGACATGGTCTCCAAAATGCGATGACGTGTGAAGAGTGGCCGTTCTTCCTGCGAGAGAATTTGCAGCGAACCATTGAGACCGAGAATTCTGACCGGCGATCGCGGAAGACATTCATTCTTTCGATCTATAAACTTCGATGCTGACAAAGGCACATCGTTCCTTGATGCAAAGTTTTGAACATCTTGTGACTGTTTCCAGCATGAACCCTCACCGCCTCACCATAACTGTCTTGTCAAGCAAAGGGGATCAGAATAAGAGAAAAGTTCAGAAAAGCTTCAGCAAAACCCCAAAGATACCCCAAAGATCCCCAAAGCCCAGAGATGCCCAGAGATACCCAGAGATGCCCAGAGATGCCCAGAGAAACTGCGAAGTTTGGTCTTCAAACAGCTGTACCATGCTGTACCGATTTCTACCGAGATGCATCTGCACTTGCTCTAGGACACCCGCGCGAATCTGCTGTATGACTCGTCCAAGGTCTACCCCAGCGTCTAGGAGCAGCGATCCACAAATATTCATCTCGGGCTTGCACAAGCCCAAGTCATGGCAAATATTGTCCAAGTGATGGCAAAAATATTGAACCACCTCCATATACTCTGAGTTTTCATAGCAATTGTCCTTGAAATCCATAAAACAAATCAAGTGTTGCATATTCTGCAAGAACTCAGTTAATCCCAAATAGGCATTCAACATGTGGTCTTCCACTTCTCCCAGCTCCAACAAATCCGAGAGAGGTGCCATGGTCTCAGCGACTTCATCGTACAGTGAACGAACTGCAGTGCCTTGCCCCACTTGACTCGACTGACGAGAACAGTTGGCTGGTCGGGTTGATGGCAAAGGTGGGCACCACACGCCGCGACTGATGCGGGGACTGTCAGGACTGTCAGGACTGTCACTGGCGAGGACAACGACATTTAGAGAACCCCATTGGCACACCAAAGCCCACGCTGCCCAAGTTGCCCAAGCTGAAAATGCCGAGGTGAAGCCGGTGAAGCCGGTGAAGCCCGGATTCGAAGCATACCAGGCATGGCTGCAGCAGCGTGTTGACAACATCGGCTGCACCCTTCAGCATGCAGCACCGAGAAGTGATAGCTGATGATAGCACTTGCTGTACTTGTTACTGCATGTCTGTGAAGAATCTGGCAAACGTTGAGGATGCTTTCAGAGCAAGAGCCTTTGTAATTTGGAACTCACCGTCGAATTCATGAGGATCCCTGGATATCTGCTTGACATGTCTGAGCATATCCTCATATACCAACAAATGCAAAGTGTGTACTGACAGGAGTCTGTTTAATCGGGCGATTTCAATCTCTGAAAGGAACCGTTTCTGACAAACAAAGTCAAACAAAGTCACTGCGTAGGTTTCTGTCTTTCCCAAATGCGAGCAATGCTCGAGACAGCTCAAGATCACATATGACATGCCCTGACTTCCCAAGGTGGAAAAGGTGGTTCACTGTCGGCGATGGGATTTGGATGGGCGAAGGTAGAGCAACGCCGTATTCGGTGTCAGCATTTGCCAGGCTAAATTGTGCTAGGCCACAAAACATACAAAATAGGAGTCTGAATACGTTTGTATTTGCATGTTGATCCCATTACATCCCATTGCATCACCTTTCTTGCTACATGCATGAATTCACTCATCTGCATAATTACAGCTGTATACAACGTCATACAGCAAACTCCCATCATCCAATGAATCCAATGTTGGGAGGAAAAATGGACAATGGACATCGACTGCTCCTGTCACAAAAGTTTCAGAACCTTGGTGCATGTTACTCAAAGAGTATGTTGCTTCAAAGATTCAAAGGGACTCTTCCGAGACTGGAAGATGCGAACATGTGCAAAAATATCTTCCAAAGCAGTCAAAGATGGTCAAAGCAATTCTGCAAAGCCAACGATTTTTCACTCTCGCAGCTCGTTGGCACGTCCACGTCATGGCTCTTCACGCGAATCAATAACACTCCTCCACGTGTCAACAGCTTGCTGAAGTCGAGGCCATTTTTGGACCTTGGGATACAAATAGCATCACCAAAATTCAAATATTTGGCATTATTTGGCATAGAATTGCAGGGATATGCCATATTATTCCCAAACTACCCCAACTCAAACATCATAATCATAATCATATTGGTGAAGCCTATGGAGAAAAGCTCGTTGCTCTGAGCAGCAGGCTCAAGAAACTCATCCAAAGCTGCCAGAGAGCCTGTCAGCAAGGGCGTTGCTGTCACCTTGCCACGGTGCGGTCAAGCAATGTGGCTTTAGGATGATTTAGGATGATTTAGGATTCAGAGTGAAGGTCTGTACCGCACCGGGCTGTACCGCTCACCCAATTTGTTTCTGAATGTTTGTGCCCCTAACCCAAAAGAGCAGTAGCTAAATTCATGCAACCTTTTGCCTGGTCGACTATTGAATCCAGCTATTTTAAGAATCCAAAATAAAACGCTACAAAATGAATCAAACTTCGCAGTAGGTGGCTAGAACTGCAGATCAACATCGAAAAAAACAAATCAGAGTATACATAAGCACTTTCCACTGAACTCCCTTTGTGTTCACCAGCCCATCGTACTGATATGGAAAGGCGCAACTCCTCCAAAGCGTTTTGGAACTGAGGCCGAACCCCTATTCTCAGCCCCAACTTGTGGAAACCCAATCGGCGTGCCAAGTCACATCTTCCAATAGGATCACTCCTCCAAGGACTATTCGTGGAGCCACCTTGGATTTGCTTGAAACAAACTGAACAGATTTTACGGTTCTGACGATATCTCGACTTTCGAAAACTCTTGGCGTTTCTTGGCATGCCGTATCCGTGTGCAACTCCGAGACTGCGGAGAACGACAGTCTGCTCAAGAACACCTTCAAAGATTTGAACGTCGCCTGCTCCTGGCTCCCGACCTTCGTCAATGCTGCCAGGGTGGTTTCGAACATGTCCACGTCAATGTTGGCTACTGCAATATCCTCATGTGGGACATCATCACTCAATATATTCGCCTGCAGCGCTGAACCCAGACTCTCCCTGCTTGGAGGTGCTGCACAATGCCACATCGGCAAGACATGGCAAGACAAACGGACCGCAACAAGGATTTTGCCAGTTCAAACATATTCAAAACAATGGGCAGAAGTGAAACTGAGCAGACTGCGCCTGCAAGAGCGTAAAGGGCACTGATGTCTGCCCCAGAAAGTCTTGAAGATAGTTCATGTGTTCCATTGGATCTGCAAACACCTGAAGAACAGCACCCTGCGCAGTCGGATACCAGTTGGTGTCAAAATATTGCAATCTGACGATATCGGACGACTTTGCCTGAACAATCTGATAAACTATATGATCTATATGTGGGCTTACCATGGCAGTTGATAGAGGTTGTCCTTGGTTATCTTGGTTGAGAATACGAATTGGTCGAGGCGTGTCAAGGCCTGGTCATGGGCTAAACTGCTTGGGTCCGGCTCCATCGGCTGAATATGTGGGGCATAGCAGGTCTGGCCTTGTGTGTTCCATGCCAGCCACGATCCATGCTGTCCGCTGCCTGCACGTGTCATGCAAATGTGCGAACGTGCCGATGCTGAAGTGAGGAAATGAATGGAACAAATCAGTGACAAAGCATTGAAACAGACTCCTCTCATACATTCTCCCCACTGGGATGAACCTGAGTGAAGTCGCAGAAATCTAGAGCAGACTCCAAAGTCACAGCGACGACCTCCAAGCCAATTATCGAGTTTGCTCCACGGCGCCTCCGAATAGTTGAAACCGCTAAAGGTGTCCATCAGCACTACCGGGCGAGATATAGCTCTTTGTCGCTCCAGATACTGCAAGACCTTGGGACAAATCAAGGAAGTCTCAAAGTTCTCCTGTCTACAAATCATTTTCAGTGGTGACACCTGCAACCAAAAAAACAAACTACCAATAAACTACAAGTAAGAGACACTTAAATAGACACACATATATTATCATATTAGATTATATTACAAATTATTATATATATATATATATGTATGATATATGTAGAAAACTGTGTGCCAAGCAAAGAGCCAAAGACCACGAAGGCACTGGCGCCCTGCGCGGCCAGGTTTCAAAGTAATTCACAAATCGATACGGGGCCATAGCGTTTGGATCAAACATGATCAAACCATATCATAAATATAATATAAGTAATAAAATACAAGTATAGGTTATTTGGATGATCCTATATGGATAATATATGGATATAATGGATGATCTAATTAACAATATAAACGATCACCCCATACGAACCCTGCTCCGTTCACAAAGTCCGCCCGCCCAATCTTAGAATATCTTAGAGGCTTAGGAGATTACTCTCCTCACGGCCCTCCGGGCACACGGGCACACGGCCGATCCACGGGCACACCGGCACACGGGCACACGAGGAAACCACGGGCACACGGGCACACGGGCACACGAGGAATCCACGGGCACACGGACACACGGGCACACTGGCAATCCACGGACACATGAGCGCAAGAATCAAAGAAACTCAGCTGACATGACAGAAATAATGACAACATTGCGGCGGAATAACGGCGAGCCTACTGAAAGGAATCTACGGTAGACGGAGCCAAAGCAACGCATGAGGAAATTAACTTAAGATCAAGGCAAAACAACGACATTAAGCTGCACGCAAACAACACGGCAAGGACAGCGACATGCCATTTACAGCAGACGGCGCCGAAACGCCGCATGTCGACATTAACATAAGATCAAGACATCGCAACACAGCGGAACAAGGTTGCAAGGAAACAACAAGGCAACCACATGGTCATGCAACAGGAAGGAACATCAAACAAACACCAAGGCCTACAACGACGGGCACCGCGCTCATCATGCTGCTATGACGTCATGCTGCAGCAACCGGTTGACACACAGAAAGGCAGACAAACGGATAGATAGATAGATGGATAGACAGAAAGAAAGATAGATAGATAGGTAGATAGATACATTCCTTGCTGGAACATCCGCTGTGTACTGCGGAGTCGGTTGAAGTTGGTGTCAAGGGAGAGGAAAATGATGATGCTGATGTTGAGGAGGAGGATGTTGAGGAGGAAGACCGATGAGGCCAGAACGCAGACATACACTTTGTGCGAGCCTGCGCAGTGGAAATGCACTTCAACATGTCACAAGAGCCACACCATACGGAAATTTACAGGTAAAAATTCCGCAGACCAGAGTGAGCACCCAGATCAGGCACCGGCCTTTACATCTACCGTAAGAACCCCTCAGTGTGGACTGACTGTTTGGGGAACCAGCAGACAGACTCATCTGCCTGCAAGCGTGTCACTTCTGGACTTCTGGACTTGTCGCTGGCCCGGGCACACGGGCACCCGGGCACAACCCGATCCACAGGCACACGGGCACACGGGCACAACCCCGATCCACGGGCACACGGGCACACGGGCAAGGGCCACCAGAGGATAATACTCAGGCTTATAGAGTATCTTAGTCACTGTCAGTCTGACATTCTCTTTTGAGATCTGCATCTAGCTTAGAGAGTGGCGCATCTTGTTTCGTCTCCGGTTTCCCCGTGTTTCCATGTGTTTCCCCGATTGGAGGTCACGCCTTGAAGACCCCAATCTCCAGGTAAATCCCGGGCAACCGCCGCGTCAGCTCCAGCGCCTCGCACAACATCTCCTCAGTGCAACTGCGGCCGAGAAAGGGAATCTCGGAATGTCTCGGATGACTCGGATAGTCCATGATACTCGTATGAAATCGCACTGTCAGCGGCCCTGACATGATCCGGTTTGGAATAGTGAGAGAAGCCGAGCGTCTGCCACATCGACACTGAAGGTTTGCAGCTGCCGGAAGAAGAATTCTCCCATAGCAACCTGAACCTAGGCATCAATTCAATCCACTTGCAAGGTCCGCTGGAAAAAATCGAACCAACGCAGTGAGGTTGTTCAGCTCATGAACAAATCATGAAATCAATTGAACAACCAACTTCTCTTGTCACACTTGTCGAACTTCTTTTGCCTTCGGATCCTGGTCCCAACTGAGGCTGGCCACCACTTCGGCAGCAATTGCTGAGGTGGTCAAGAAACGTGCCCTTTCTAAGGGGCCCAAGAGCCGTGAGTGACCCACTGCCTTGGCAAAGCGTGGCAAAGTGTGGCAAAGTGTGGCAAAGTGTGGCAAAGTGGTATCGGACCGGATGATACCCAATGGTATGTCAGCATTATGTTGCTGCAAGATTCTGCAAGGCCAACATGGGCGAATTAAGCGAATTATGTGACGCCGTCCGCGCCTCCACCAATTTATCGCTCCAGAATTGGTCAATCTTGCAGCCCCTTTCAATGACCCTGTCGAGTGAGAATTGACATTCTAGGACATGGCTAACACCCTCGCATTGCTTCCCATGAATCCAAAATGGGCATTCTGATGGGCTTGTGGACATGGACCATGTGCTCTCATATTCTGCCAGAACTAAACTCAAGATTCTCAAGTCTCAAGATGCACGGATGCTTTTCTACATCTTAATTTCTCCTTTACGACTTGAAACAGGCCATAGCCAGGTCATCTCAACATTCTGCCGCGCCTGCGTGCTGAGGCAGAGAGATCCGCATCAAATCGCCAGGCCAGCAGATAGCAGTGTCGCTGTGGCCGCTCGAACTCCAAGGCCAACTCCTTGCGCAGTTCCAACTCGTTCCAACTCGGCTCAAAACAACCCCTGAAATGACTTCGTTCTAATGTATAACTTTCATATAGCAATCATTACGCATTCGTTACATATTCATTACATATTCGTTGCATATGCGTTACATATATTCACTACCATTCTAAAGATTATACTATATAATACTATATATAGTTCGATTTAGTTCGATATTCTATACCCACTTTGAGGCTTGATGCAATGCAAATCGTTCCCGCACAAAAAAACGGTGTTCTTCGCCGTCTCTCACAAGGCTGTCTCTCACATCTGAAATGTTGAGTTCTGAGAGTTAAGGTCCGTGAAGGTTGCAGGTCCTCTTTCACAATTCTGCGGCTCCTCATCTGCGAGAACAAGGTGCTGGGCAAAGGGTGGGAGCGCTGTTTCATTCAGCCGCAACAAATCCCCTGTCAGCACAAATCGGCACATTTTGCTCATGGCAGTCCTGGGCGGAACGGAGGAGCAGGCTGCACAAAGCTGCACTATGCTGCACTGCATCTTCCTTATTCTTCCTTTCCCAAGATTTCAATGTAACACTTGCATTACAAAACTACACGTATATCATTCATATTCTTTATCGATTCTTTGACCACACTAGACTTAATAGTTTGATTGTTCGAAAATCATTTGCCATGACCTGAGAAAGCGGATGACATGATCACTGCACATAAGATCATATCAACACGATGATAACATAATGCAAAATGTATCAACATGTGCTCAAGTTGGGTTTCTACAAGTAACTCCAAGCCCTCGTAAAATGGGTGGCCCGTCATGAGGAACTCGGGAACCTGACGTAATGAGCTCAAGAAGATAGGGTCCTCATTAGGTTGGTCAAGGAAGCTATAGAAAACTACTGGCCGTTGGGATATCATATCTCTGCGTTTTAACAAGTATGATGAAGGTACAAATCTCAGTTGTCAAGCACCGTGACAAACGTTCCTTTTGGATCCTTTTGCAGTGATATGAAGTCCTGTACTTGTTTCACAACATTCTGTTTCGGTGTCAGTGTCAACTGTGGCATATCCCAGCCTTCATGTCTTGCAAAGTCTGGGTGCCCGTCCAAATCTCCAAGTCTTTGAATCTTTCTACCAGATAACGCCACAGACCTGCACTCAGAAGATCCACCAGATAACGCGGAATCAAAGTCACATGAAGAAAAATCACTATGTGATGCACCAGCCTTGCTTCACATCATCGAGCTCAAAGCGTGGAAACGGCCAGGAGTTTGCCTCAGTTTGCTGTTATATGTTGTTATCATTCTCATGGATTGAGAAGTGTTATGTTACTTTTGCGTAGCTGAAACATGCACAACTAGGATGTTGTCTTGGCTTTAGAAGATACGAGTACATTTGCATGAATGATATGTATCGGTGTTCTTGAGGTTGCGCTGTGTTAGTGCTGTTTTCTTGTTGTACAGTAAGGTTCTTGTGCGGGTGTAGCTGAGAAGAAACCATATGTGAACAATGACTCCGCTGCATGCACTTAGCTCTGCTAGCTACTCTTGGCATCTGGACACCCATGAAAACACATTCATGAAACGTATCCAAAACATATCCAAAACTGCTCCACCAAAACTTGGCTGAGAGACTAATGGATGAGATGTCAGCAAGGTCTCAGCAGACGGCCATTTGACTCGCTGAACATGCCTGAATCGACGGTGATTCTGGTAAAGATCATCCCCAGAAAGTTGCATATATATATATGTATAAACAGTAACAACATGTATAGTTGTTTCTAAATGCATCTATGATCGTATTTGGACATTGAGTGTCAGACAGACACACAACTTCAAAGAACACAAGCCATCACACAGAGATATAGGTGCGACATAATGATGAACTAGACATCTGACATAGACATATTTACCTACACATATGCCTGCATACCAGCCACATCCCTTCAGTGCGTCCACACGTCCAACCATTGTCACAGTATAATCTCTCACATACGCATTTGTCAAGGTGTAGCAGCAAAGAGCAACACGTATCTACAACGCAAAAAAATATAATATGATATGATATAATATAATATAAAAAATAGAAACATAAATATATATAATATAATTTAGATATAAATAAAAACACAATATATAAATATATTATATTATATGTGTGATATGTATATATGTAAATAAATAAATAAATAACAATAAATATATATAACATAAAACATATATAATATACATATATAAAATAAAATTATTTATGTAAATATCATAATATATATAATACATAAAAAAATATAAAATATATAATATATACAATACATATATAATATATAATGTAGTTTTAATATATAATATAAAAATATATATTGTATATATAATATAAATGAAATACATACAATATATTTGATATATAATTTAAATAATGTAACATATATATATATAGTATATATATCATATAATAGATATATATATATATATTACTATTCTTTATACATATTTAAACTATATATACTACATATAATAAAATATATAATATAAAATAATATAGTTCGTATAAAAAAAATAGTATAATATAATAAAACATAATATAATATAATATAATATCATAAAATATAATATAATATAATATAATATAGCAAAATAAAATATAATATAATATAATGTGATATGATATAATAAAATATAAAAAAAATAGTATAATATAAAATAAAATAATATAATATAACACAATATACTATATTATAATAAAAAAATAATATAAAATAATATAATATAATATAATAGAATATAATATAATATAATATATAATATCAAATAACATAGTATAATATGAAATAAAATGATATAATATAATATAATACAATATCATATAATATAATATTGTATAACGAAATACAAAATAATATGATATAATATAATATAATATAATACAATATAATAATATATATATATATTTATTTATTATAGTATGAAACATATATTATATTATTTTTGTTATTATATCTAATATAATACAATATATATATATATATGAATATTATTATACATATATGCATATGAATATATATGTAGAAGCACAGAATGGATTTCTTGACTTCTTTCCCACATGAGCAAACAGGAAGAGATACAACAAAACATGGTGCAGAAACATGGCAATGTATATCTCCGTGAGTGTGGTTGGTGATGGCTGGTGTCTTTTCCTCAGAGACCCTGCAAAACAAACATTTCCAGGCTAAGTAACTAAGTAAAAACTAAGTATGATAGATTATGTTAGTACGATTTAATATGGCGCCAGTACGAACACACTCCAGAGTCGAGCAACCCGAGCGTGTGCTTGACAAGCAGTTCCACTCGGGAAGGTGGACCTTGGAATCTTCATTGGCTTTATTGGCTTAGAGGATCTTAGAGGTTTCTTTTCAAACTCTATTTGGCTCCTCATGTCATGCTGCATAGACTCTGTTCACAACTTGGAAAAACATCAAGATCATCAAGCCTTGCTGATTTCCACTTTGTAGTAGTAGATTGTAGTAGTGTTTTATTGCATCTGGGGCAGGCATGCCAATTCATTGACCAGAATTCCACATTCCTCCCGGCCGAGTAAAATTAGATCCACTCCTAAAGACACCAATTTCTATAACTTCAAGGCCCTCACGTCTTTCAGGTTGCCAGTACTTTCTCATAAATCAAAGTGGTCAAACTTGGACGCGGGACAACAGTGCATTTGAGGGACTGAGCCACGACGGTGCATGCCTGAGGTTGTACAGAATCACTGCCTGCACTTTGCGCCACACATTGAAAATAGTGCTAAGTGCTGAGCAAATTGCAAATGACATGAGATTGAAATGAGAGGTGAACTGGTTGTACACCAGGGTGTGAACGAAATTGACAACGTGTGACATTCAAAGGCTCAAATCTTGCAGTGCACATGAGCGTCACCTGCCCCCTGTTTCATCACTAAAATGTTGCATCAGCTCTCGAATCTCTAACATTCTGTTACTGCTTTGAAAACAATCCGGCCGGAAAACTCGCGCACCGTCCATTCCTTCAGCACCCCCGTGGGGAGAAGCAGCTTCCTGATCACCAAGGACAACTCATGCCTGGGCCAACGTCATAAGCACACAACTAAACCTCACAAACAAAATCACCAGGAGAAAAATATGGGAAACATCTCAATCAAAAACAAAGGAAGTAATTAGGCAAATGGATCTTTCAGTGTCAATCAACCGTTGACAATGCTGAGATACGCAAAGTGATCCATGTCCATGCAGCAACAGAGGCGTTTCGAAACATGAGGGATTTTTGCTTCGTAGAATCGGACAACTTGACAAGGAAAGCCTCTCAGAACATGGTCTCACATGCAAACAGTAGGTGCTCAACATGGGGGCAATATAAAGCCACATCGTCCTCGGTGCGAAAGTCAGCACTCCGTCAAACAGAAACACCCCCGCTGAATCACGAAATATATAAAATTAGCTTGAAAAAATCACAGACGAACTTTAGTAAAAAAAATCTCTGTTTTTGAGCCAGCCAAAGTCTACGTGCAAGATACTTCCAGGCACTGCTCGAACATTGACGAGGGAAATGTATTGCAACATCAACAAAACACACCCGAAGAATGCATACAAAATATATCGAAATATGACCCAAGGCACCTGTGAATTTTGAAAGACATTTGCCAAATCGAGCCAAGTTTCGAGGTTTCCCAACCTCGCTGACACGAACTTTAGAGGCCAGACCCCTTTTAAATTCCGACCATCTGTGACTATTTAGGACCATCTGACATCCGTTTGTAATTGGTATTTGAGAGAAGATCGACCCTGAGATTTTGAGCAACTGTTGATATTTCAACAAAGTCAAATTTACATAAATTTACTTACCTTTCAGATGTGAAAACGTTGCCTAGCAGGAAACGATTAGTGAAATTTTCTCATGCCAAGTAGCTCTTGGATGGCGAGCGCCATGGATGAACGAACGTGTTGCTGTTGGTCGGCACCATAGTCGTGTACATCCTGAAACACGCCGAGGATGCGCGGGCGATGCGCGGAGGACAGACTTGAAAGCACTGCAAGGAGCAAAGCGCTCAGAAGCAGAGCGCGGATAGTGCGGGCGCATCAGGATGCCTTCTCCACTGGCAGCGATTAGAAGAAAGTATTTGGGTTTGTTTTTTGGCGACACGATGATACCAGAACCCAGCAGTTAATTCTTCCTCTGGGCTTATATGGGCTGGAAAGTGATACTCCAGGCCAATTTGTTCTGCGCAATCCGACTTGAAAAGCATCACTTTTAGAGTGTCTCTCATGAAACCACGACCCCTTCTCAACCAGCACGCCCAGCGCCTATGTCAAGCAACGTCGCAAGTGGCAAGCTACTCCGTCCATGGAGTAGCCAGCTACCTTGCTTGTACTTACGCGTTAGGTGTGCAGGTAGCAAGCTACTCCGTCCATGGAGTAGCCAGCTGCCTTGCTTGTACATAGGCGATAGGTGTGCAGGTGGCACGCTACTCCGTCCATGGAGTAGCCAGCTACCTTGCTTGTACATAATTCTTAATGTGCTTAGGCGTTAGGTGTGCACGTAGCAAGCTACGCCGTCCATGGAGTAGCCAGCTACCTTGCTTGTACATAGGTGTTAGGTGTGCTACCTTGCTTGTACATAGGCGTTAAGGGGGGCAGGTAAAGCCAGCACGGAGTAACAGTAGCCAGCTACCTTGCTTGTACATAGGCGTTAGGTGCGCAGGTACCAAACCGCTCCATGCAATATGGAGTGGCCGTCCATGGAATAGCCAGCTACCTTGCTTGTACACAGGCGTTAGGTGTGCAGGTAGCAAGCTACTCCGTCCATGGAGTAGCCAGCTACCTTGTGTGCAGGTAGCAAGCTGCTCCGTCCATGGAGTAGCCAGCCACCTTGCTTGTACGTAAGCGTTAGGTGTGCAGGTAGCAAGCTACTCCTTCCATGGAGTAGCCAGCTACCTTGCTTGTGCGTTAGGCGTGCAGGTATAGCCAGCTACTCCGTCAATGGAGTAGCCAGCTACCTTGCTTGTGCATAGGCATCAGGCGGGCAGGTGGCAAGCTACTCCGTCCATCGAGCAGCCAGATACCTCAGCTGTAGCAAGGTAGCTGGCTACTCCATGGACGGAGTAGCTTGCTACCTGCACACCTAACGCCTATGTACAAGCAAGGCAGCTGGCTACTCCTTGCACGGAGTAGCTTGCTACCTGCACACCTAACGCCTATGTACAAGCAAGGCAGCTGGCTACTCCATGGACGGAGCAGCTTGCTACCTTCACACCTAACGCCTATGTACATTATGTACAAGCAAGGTAGCTGGCTACTCCATGGACGCAGTAGCTTGCTACCTGCACTCCTAACGCCTATGTACAAGCAAGGTAGCTGGCTACTCCATGGACGGAGTCGATTGCTACCTGCAAGCCCCCTGCCTATGTACAGTTGAGGTATCTGGCTACTCGATGGACGGAGTAGCTTGCTGCCTGCACTCCTAAGGCACAAGCAAGGTAGCTGGCTACTCCATGGACGGAGTAGCTTGCTACCTGCACGCCTAACGCACAAGCAAGGTAGCTGGCTACTCCATGGACAGAGTAGCTGGCTACCTGCACGCCTAACGCACGAGTAAGGTAGCTGGCTACTCCATGAACAGAGTAGCTGGCTACCTGCACGCCTAATGCACGAGTAAGGTAGCTGGCTACTCCATGAACAGAGTAGCTGGCTACCTGCACGCCTAACGCCCATGTACAAGCAAGGTAGCTGGCTACTCCATGGACGGAGTAGCTCGCTACCTGCACGCTTACCACCTATGATGTACAAGCAAGGTAATACTCCACGGACGGGGTAGCTTGTTACCTGGGTCGGAGTTGGAGCGAAATGGCCGCAAGTTAGGCCCAAGTTGGTTCCAAGTCGGCTCGCGTTCGGCCCTTGCGCCAATTATGCCCATGTTCTTCACCCTGCATCCACAACTACCATGACTACCATACTCCTCAACTTCGAACAGTCGCCCCTGACCTGCACAATTTGCATCTAATCTGGGTGCGGGCGGCGAGACTTGGCTGGCTGCTAACCCGAGCCCTTGCTGTTGCAACTTATCGCTCCGAGTGGAGTGTCTCTAGCTATGCAAACGAACAAGGTAGCACACTTCTGCATGGAATCGCCTATTTGACATGCTGCATAGTGACTGCATTAGGTCGGCTCGATGACTAGGAAACTTGAAACTTGGACTGGAAGCTGCTTTCAGAAGTAGCAGAGGTGACAACACCAGCTAGAGCGGTGACCCGTCATCCTGATCGGCACCGGCACCAAGCCGGTCATGTGGACAAAATCGATAAACGGTAATGAGATGTAATCAGCAACTGGTCCTGTGCAATGTGTGAACGCCCAATGACTGTCACGCGTTAGTCCAGGAAGTCCCTACGTCCTGAAACTAAGATCGGGTCTATGAAGATGTAGCTGGCGATATGGTGGCTAAACAGCCCCAGCAGCTCATGGTACGTCCTTGCGACAGTCAAGTGTCCTAGAACTAGACCTGAAAATCCCTGTTGGAATTCGGACCAAACCTGGGGTTTCCATTCTATAGGGACTAAAACGAAAACCCAGGACTAAGGGGGGGTGATTTTCCCTATAGAATAGAAACCCAAGAAAGCCAACAACCCCCTGCCACTCCTATAAAATGAAAACCCAGCCTCATACTGGCCACCGCTTGGAACAAATAATCCACTATAGAATGAAAAACTGGGTCCCAGTGATTAGGAAAAAGACCCCCTATAGAATAGAAAACTGGGTTTGCAATGCCTTAAGTTTTGTTTCACTTCTTTTGGATCTGGGCTGGCACCATTCCACAAAAGAATATACTTGGTGACTATTTTATAGAGGGGGGTTGGATTCCATTTTATAGGCACTGATCCAAGAGGAGCCGTGCCTCAGCATGGCCAGGCTCAGAAACATTCATATAATAATGTATATATATAAATAAATAAATCCATGTATCTATATTTATTCATTTATTTATTTGTTTACACACATGCATACACACTATTACTTTGCCTACTGACAAGCCCCCTGCCACTCCTATAAAATGAAAACCAAGCCTGACACTGACAAACCATTATAGAAATAAATGAATACATAAACACATAATATATACACTATAGAATAAAACACTGGGTCCTAGTGATGAATAGAAAACGCTATTTCCAACGCCCAAAATGTGGTTCACGTTTGGATCTGAGCTGGTGCCTTTCAAAAAAGAAACATCCTTGGGGGCCATTTTTTGGAAGTGGTGTTGGATTTCCATTTTATAGGAGCAGCCCTGCTAAAAGCAGCTTCGTTAACAGTAACGATTACTTTTTCTGTTACACAATTTAATTTGCACTATCATTGCCCACTGACACTCCCCCCTCCCCCTCCTATAAAGTGAAAACCCAGCCGGACACTGACCACTACTTCCAAAAGATTGCCCACGAGTGCCCTACTGAATAGAAAACGCTATTTCCAAGGCCGAAAATGTGGTTCACGTTTGGGTTGGCACCTTTCAAGAAAAGAAATCTTGGGGACCATTTTTTGGAAGTGGTGTTGGATTTCCATCTTGTAGGAGCAGCCCTGCTAAAAGCTGATTCGTTAACAGTGTTGAGCACTTATTCGTTTACAGTATGTTTCAATATTTTACAATATCATACAGTATTTACAATATTATTGCCCACTGACACCTCCCCTTCCACTCCTATAAAATGAAAACCCAGCCTCATATGGCCACCGCTTCTAACAAATACTCCACTATAGAATGAAAACCTGAGTCCAAGTGATTAGGAAAAAGACCCCCTATAGAATAGAAAACTGGGTTTGCAATGCCTCAAGTTTGGTGTCACTTTTGGGTATGTTTTTTTTCCCCAAACTGGATGGGCGCAATCCAGGTACCATTCTATAGTAAAAACTGGCCTACCAACCTCATCTCTATAGAATCGTGCCCCCAGGTTACCTATTTGATAGAGATAATTCCAAGGAGGATACCTGAAAGCGTGGAAGCAGCGGCTATCTGAGAACAGGTCTGTTACAAGATATTATATACAAGCAAAACATGGTAAAACACACTTCTTGAAAATGGTTCAAAATATGTCAAAGAAATGCCAAGGAAATGTTTTCCTTTGGAGATCGATGCCATGCTAAGCTTCGACTGTCGAAGCTGTGGCAGCGGCAGGGAGCTGCAATAATTCTGCGAGTTCTGCTCATTTATCTGCGAGAGAGCAGCAGTGGCACCAGTGACCTTGGCTTTGCCGAAAAAGAGGTTTTGATACTTTCCCCATCCTCTCTGAAAACAATCTACGGTGTCGAATAGTCAACGAGTAGTCAACCCAAGTTGTCCCAGTTATCTCGAACCATGGATTGATAGAAACACTCAGGTAATCTATTTTTTGAAGCTGGACACATCTGGACACACCATGTTGACCATCACACTGAACTGCTTCGGCTTTTCCATGTCTTGCTAACACAGTGCTACACATGATCTACAAATGCAAACTGAAATTGGATAAAATTGACATTTTTTGACATCTTTTTGACATCTCCATTTTCTCTGGCCTCGACCAAGCAAATGGACAGCCAGTGCGCTGTGCGCCATGGCAGCATCACCATGGACTTTCTCCATCTTTCAGTCGGGGCCCGTCCTTGTCCACATTTGTTCACTATGTTTCTTGCAATGGCTGGGTGTTTATAATTATATGTGTTTATATGCTTAATGATGCTTCATGAGTCTAGACGAGACAGGCGGGAAAAAAAGGTAAGGTAATGTGTCAAGATGTTTCAAGTGATTTTCTTTACCCCCCGACACCAAGAGCTCCAAAGACCGTCTGTAAAGTGTTCGTCTCTTCTGGGAAACTTTCCTGCTGTGCATAACTGATCTTTCAGCCAAGCAACTTGATAAATATGATCAGGTGAGTGGCCTTTGTGAACAAGAGCTACATACTTAACACAGTATATACATGTGTCATCTATCGATCTATGTGAATGTCAGCATACGGCATTCATGCGGCCATATACGCCATACGTAGGCCTTATATGGCCTTTTATGATTTAAGCTTTGCAAACTACAGCCCAAACCCCTATGGGGCCCATCACGGCCACAACCAATTGTCGGTGTGCGGAGCCCATCGCATGATTGTAAAGTAGAATAAAGTAGATACAGTATACGTCATATAGGTCTAGAGTCTAGATATGTATTGAATATACCTACATGATCCTACATGTATTGATGTGATGTGACGTCATGTCATGTTGTGTCATGTGATGGTCGTGTAATGTCATGTTGTGTCATGTCATATATCAATCCATCCATGGCATTGTCTTGCGGTAGGACTTCTCACTTTTCATGCATGTCTGATCCCTATCGCCCTACTCCTTTTACACTTCAGCCTTGGTGGCCCCTGCTCAAACACAATTGTCTAGCTGTACTCAATATACAAATCTCAATAAGCAAAAAAACATTAACATTAAATATACATTAAATAGTGTTTGAGTACACAGTGCGTGGCCGGTTGCTCTTTTCACAACTCGGTGGAGTGATATGCCAGAAACGCCACATAGAGTGGTAGAAGGCCATGCAAAAGGCTTTCCACCAATGGCGTCTTCAATAGAGGTTTCAAGAACACTTCCACGGGCCTTTGCACCATCATGAACAGCAATAGGGCCAAAAAGACATGTGACAATAGAAGTCCTGGGCCCAGAATTATTCGCTCCCACATGGGATCAATGCGAAGGCTTCGGGTTAGAGGAACACCACTTTCAGAGATCCCCCGGAGCAAAAAGCTTTGTAAAGGTGCTTCAGCCACCAAAATGCAAAAGCTCAGGCGGGAAATCAAGGTCATCGTCCTGAAAAGTGCCGTGATCATGCCTTGGTTGCTTGAATTGCCATCATTCGACTCCGTCTCGATCGACTGTGTGCCTGGTAGACCGGTCCGAAGAAGAATACAAAGTCCTAAGATGAAAGGCACATCTCCCAAGCTTTTCTTCACATTCCGCGCTAGACACCATTGAGCGGGATCGTTTTGATTAATCCAAGACGACCAAAACCAACTGGCTGTTGCTACAGCTAGGCCTGCCCTCTTTGTGAATCTCTTTGGAAGTGCAGCTGCCGCAGCCATGTTTTGAGCGGCTAAGAAAAGACCAAGGAAAGCAGGGATCTCGAGCCTTTTGGTCAAGTAGTAATTCCAGTCATGATGCAGCTTTTCCCACTCCAACCGACTCTCCGGTCCCGATTCTCTGATGGCATAATACAGGACTGCCCAGATGTATAAAATCCCATGTGTGACACGTGCAAGCCCTGCTGCTCGCAGAAAAAATAGGCCGAAACACGCCAAAACACGTTCGTTAGCATCCCTCACTTGCCAGTTGATAGTGAAGAAGCGCAAAACACACGTCCAGTAAGACTTCATACACTCACCACCCTGCTGGGTCCATTGCAATACAGGGCCTTCAACTGTGCTTTGGGTGCCATCGATGTAGTTGAGCGGTTGATTCAGAAAAGCAAACCGGCTTCCCCTTCTGTCCCACCATACTGAGAGCATGATCAAGGGAAGATGCCTTAAAAACTTTCTGGCCAATTTAAGGCTACAACTTTTAAAGACTTTTAGCAGAGAAGGTGAGCCAACTTTCTCTCCCTCATGATTTTCACTTCCCAAGGCAAGGTGAAGTGTGAGAACAGTCATGATGATCACGCATCGAAAGCAAAGGGAGATTCGAAACTGGTTTCCGCCCTCTAGGGCGCCCTCCATGGTTTCATTTTGAGCCATCTCTAGGTGAAGAGAAACCAGGAGCAGCGTTGCAATGCCTCGCAGAAAGTCAATGGCATTGCCACGTGATGGGGACCACAATTCTTTCCAAGCACTTTTTGCAGAGAAAGCGTGGACGAAGTGCTGCATGAAAGTAGCCAGTTGGTTCAAGATTCCAGCAGATCGGACATGCTGCATGTCCTGTTTTCCGTTGCAAACATGGCTTTGATGCTCATGGTTGTTTGGGTCGCAAAGAGTGGCAACAATAACCAAACATGCAATGGATACGAAGGACACCTGTACTTGGAAGGACACCTCATCAATTTGTTGACGCAGTGTTTTGTCTTGCGAGGCACTCGCATAGACAGTGTCCAAAAAATGTGGCCATTCCCAAAGCTCAACACTTCCCATTGTCATCATCAAACGTCGAGAATCTGCAACCTGTATCACATAGTCAGGCACCAATTCATTTGCGACTTGTTCTACTGAGCAAAGTCCAGGTGCACAGAATCCAAAATACATCCGGTAATCCTTTGAATTTGAAGGTTCAGAGTGAAAGTCGAGCTGAGTCAAGAAAAAACGACCTCCGGTATGCATACAGCCTCTGTAATCGCCTCTGTTCTGCCCATCCCATCCACTACCCATGTGACGCAGTGGCACGCCAGAGCATTCAGGATACTGGCCCATGGGTGCGCCCCATTGGACGTTCAACGCCCAACCCCACTGAACTTGACATGCAGAGGTCTTGCCGATTTTCTCAGCTTCTAGGGTTTTTTGGCGATCACGAGTCACTGCACTTTCTCGGCCAATCAGTCCCGTCTTATAGCTATGGTCTGATGGCATGAAATTGCCAATTTCTGTCTTGACAGTACAGCAATATTCATGGGTAAAGACTGTGTCCCAGCAGTTAACATTGCCAGCTGGACCATAGGTCCCAAGATCGCAGCACATGTCATAGTTGAAGCCGTTTGACCAACACTCCGGGTTTCCACGACTGGAAACCGCTGAGAGAAACGAAAGGAACACTCCGCAGCGGACAGGGTATCCTGGTCCTGTGCGCATGGCTCCAACTTGCTTGGCCGTGTCACCTACATTCAGCTACTTCTATGTTTTTTCTTTTCACATGGTCAATCGATGATATTCGATGAGTTTCTGGTGAGTCGACTGCCTGGATTCACAAAATGGGAGATGGGTCTAGGTAGACCCCGAGTTCAAACGCCGCATGCTCCACCTATGTCCTGAATCTTGTCCTATCTTGTCTGTCACAGTATGTCCTCTGAATTCTACCTATCTTTTCATATCGTTTCATGTCCTGGCTTAAGTTGAACCTTGTGCATCGATTCGAGCAGCTGTGTTTATTTCAGACGCTTGTATCCGGTCAATACCATGGTCACCATGGTCGCTGTTCATTCTAATTGTCTCAGCAGATCTCAGCAGATCTCAGCAGATCTCAGCAGCGTGACTTCAGGATCATTTTCAAACCAACAGCGTGGATCGCCACTGAGGAAGAAACGAAACGCGAAGTCTGGCCTCAGATTGCGCGGACATCTGTGCCTTTCTGTGCCATTGTGCGTCTGTTGATGAGTATTTAAAGATATTTAAAGTATTTATATATCATTTTTTCAAGTGATCCATGGGCGCTGTGGCCTGACAGTGTTGGTCTTAAGCTTGCGACCTCTTGGACAGCATTCAGCCATTTCTTGGCTCTAGCCTGGTTGTGTTGCATCAAGCGCTCATGATACGTAGAGTCGGAGGGGCACGGCGAATTTCTATTAAACTCTGCTCTGCCATGGCATTCATCTACAAATTTCTGTATGCACATAAATACTGAACTGTAGATATATCATATCACGGATGTTTGGTGATGGTACTTTCGTACTTGTAGGATATTTATATGGTACAGTCATGTACAGTCTGCTACAGTAGGCTCAGTGGATCTCGGCGCGACTTCGAACTTTCTATGTTTATCCGCTACAATTCGTCAAAACATGGCAAGGACCGAGCTCCAACGCCTGGCTTTCTTTGGCCCGGTCGGTCTCTTCCTGATGGAGCCTGGGAAACTGGACCGGGAAACGTTGGATGACACTGATGAGACATGATGAGACATGATGAGACATGATGGGACATGATCGTGCTATCAAAACATATCCACACCTATGTCTCTCTGACTTATACTATGAACTGATATGAAACATATGAAATCATGAGTTGTGATATGCTGTGATCCTGATCTCATGGACACCTAACGCTATGTACAAGCAAGGTAGCTGGCTATTCCATGGACGGCCACTCCATATTGCATGGAGCGTGTACAAGCAAGGTAGCTGGCTACTGTTACTCCGTGCTGGCTTTACCTGCCCCCTTAACGCCTATGTACAAGCAAGGTAGCTGGCTACTGTTACTCCGTGCTGGCTTTACCTGCCCCCCTTAACGCCCATGTACAAGCAAGGTAGCTGGCTACTCCATGGACAGAGTAGTAGGCACCTGCACGCCTGACGCCTATGTGCCAGCAAGGTAGCTGGCTACTCCATAGACAGAGTAGCTTGCTACCTGCACGCCTAACGCCTATGTACAAGCAAGATAGCTGGCTAGTCCATGGACGGAGTAGCTGGCTACCTGCATCCCTAACGCCTATGTGCATGGAAGGTAGCTGGCTACCCGATGGACTGCTACATGCACGCCTAACGCCTATGTACAAGCAAGGTAGCTGGCTACTGTTACTCCGTGCTGGCTTTACCTGCACGCCTAACGCCTACGTCCAGGTAGCTGGCTACTCCATGGACGGAGTAGCTTGCTACCTGCACGCCTAACGACTATGTACAAGCAAGGTAGCCACCTGCACGCCTAACGCCCATGTACAAGCAAGGTAGCTGGCTACTCCATGGACTGAGTAGCGTGCTACCTGCACGCCTAACGCCTATGTACAAGCAAGGTAGCTGGCTACTCCATGGACGTAATAGCTTGCTTCATGCACGCTTACCACCTGCGTACAAGCAAGGTAATACTCCACGGACGGAGTAGCTTGCTACCTGCATCCCTGAAGCTGGGTTGGAGTTGGAGCGAAATGGCCGCAAGTTAGGCCCAAGTTGGTTCCAAGTCGGCTCGCGTTCGGCCCTTGCGCCAATTATGCCCATGTTCTTCACCCCGCATCCACAACTACCATGACTACCATACTCCTCAACTTCGAACAGTCGCCCCTGACCTGCACAATTTGCATCTAATCTGGGTGCGGGCGGCGAGACTTGGCTGGCTGCTAACCCGAGCCCTTGCTGTTGCAACTTATCGCTCCGAGTGGAGTGTCTCTAGCTATGCAAACGAACAAGGTAGCACACTTCTGCATGGAATCGCCTATTTGACATGCTGCATAGTGACTGCATTAGGTCGGCTCGATGACTAGGAAACTTGAAACTTGGACTGGAAGCTGCTTTCAGAAGTAGCAGAGGTGACAACACCAGCTAGAGCGGTGACCCGTCATCCTGATCGGCACCGGCACCAAGCCGGTCCCTACGTCCTGAAACTAAGATCGGGTCTATGAAGATGTAGCTGGCGATATGGTGGCTAAACAGCCCCAGCAGCTCATGGTACGTCCTTGCAACAGACAAGTGTCCTAAAACTAGACCTGAAAGGGAAGCAGCGGCTATCTGAGAACAGGTCTGTTACAAGATATTATATACTATTATACCAGTAGTACCCGCACGAGGCGGGGCGGAAGTTGCCTTAAAGATATATATAAGACCTTTCTCATCTATAGAACTTGCATGCGCCGTGCGCCAGCCAGGCCCGTGCGTGCGTGCACTCTGCGAAAGTGGTGTGGTGTCCTGTTTCACATGTCACATTTGAAGCTCCACTTCGCACTTCACGCTTCACACTCCACACTTCACACTCCACACTCCACACACCACACTCCACACTTCACACTGCACGCTTCCCACTGCACACTCCACACTTCACACTTCACACTTCACACTCCACACTTCACACTTCACAGTCCACACTTCACACTTCTCACTTCTCATTGCTTTCTTCACACTCCACACTTCACACTTCACACTGCACTCTTCGCGCCCCACACTTCACACTCCACACTTCATCTCATCTGAGCTCTTCTCGGCGCTTCTGCACGTCAGCAAGGTTGAGCGTAACTCATGTTGATTCTTCTACATGCCAAAAGGCGTAGACCATAAAATATTTACAATATTGAGGTCATTAATGCCAAGCGTTGATGCATTGCATCAAATCGCAACGGCAAGTGTGAACATGGTGTAGTTGTTACCTGTCAAGGAGATTCACGCAGTCCAAGCTCGACAGCTGCTTTTTTCTCTGCGCTACACTTGGTCGTCTAGGCTTTTGGCAGCTTTTCGGCCCGCACTGGCACGAAAGGGTGGAGAGCTTATCACGCTGGAAGCCTGGTTGTCCGTCAGGGCACTTCACGAAGCAAATCAGGCAAGAAGTTCTCACTATCTGCAATGACATTGCGGACCCAAGCTGCATCTGCTTGCGACAAACGACATTCTGCACCTGCTCGGTAAGCACTCAACAACATGGCCGCAGCGTGCACACCATCATCTGTCAGGGCAACGCAGCGCTGTTCTGCCAAGGTATCGTCTTGTTCCGTGCAAACAGTTGTCAAGGCTTCGAAACAACCAGCGCAGAGTCCATATTTGAAGTAACCCAAAACAATATTCCTGCGCTCCTCGGTTGGGATACTTCGTCTGCACGCGAAGCATAGTGAATTTTGCAACGCGTTGTAGACGTGCAATGCAATCTTCAAGCTATGCTTGAGAGCTGCCATTTCTTCGAAGCCAATGTCAATCCTCAAGTTTTGCGACTCCAAATTTCCTTCCTCTTCCACTTTGCGTTGCAGCAAGTTTCTAAGGTTGGCGCTCTGCAGCACACATGCATTCGTAGCTGTCGAAGCAGCGCTCACGTTGCTGAGCGCATGGAGATCCAGCAATTCGAAATCGACTGCCAACCGCCAGAAGTCGCAAGGTCCGATAGCCATGGTGGTTGCCCTCGTGGACCGCACTGTCGCACGAGGATGGTCGCAAAGCAATTCTCTAACAGCAGAGCGTAGCTGCAATATGAGTCTCCTGTCGTGTAATACAGTAAGTAGAGACATGGAGGTATAGCAAGGTTATGTGCGTCACGGCATGAACTAACTGTATTCCGTGCAACTTCTCTTACTGTACTTTATCCTTGGAAGTCATCACTGCAAACAGCTGCAAGCACGTAAAACCAGAGATAGGACATCGATGCTGGCCTTCCGTCTATCATGCATAAACACATCGTTGCAGTGTGGAGCAAACAGTACGTCACATAACCGGAAACATCCAACAACCCGTGCACCAATCCTGTTCTGATTCGCATTCCCCAGTTTCTTCACAAACTTTGAATTCTTCATGTGTCCCTTTTTTACCATACCTTTTTTTGCTTGGCATCTATGAGAAACTGTTTTATTTTTGCATCAAACACCATTGAAGCCACACGTCTTTATTTCAGAAGTAAGCAGAACTCAGAACCCAGCGCGATGCAGATCATGGTCCTTTTTCATCTCACTCTGAATCCTTGGCAACAATCATGCCTGGATCACGCGGCCCGCACTGGCACGCACGCCATGGCAGTGAGTGTCCTGCACGGGCAAGCATCAGCGATGCAACAGCAGATCGTCTTTATCCAGACAACGTACCTTAAAAATAAGTCTCGAGTTACCCGGAGCCCATTCACTGGGCCTCTTCCTTGCAATCAAGTTCCACCACAAGAACATATGCAAGACTCGAATTCCCAGCGCGGTGAGAGCCACGCACTGTGGGAAGCTGCACGTCTGATTTTCCCGGCTGGAGGCATTTCGCAGCTCCTGTTGCAAGGCTTCATCGCAAGAGGGGCATATAGATAAGGAGGAAGCAATGGCAAGAGGTTCCAAGACAGGCCTGTCGTGTCCACAAGCGATGCAGCGGTGATTTTCCAGCGCCTTTGTCACTCGAAACAAGTGATGGCAACGAGCATCGAATTCGTTCATGGTTTCAATGTCAATGATGCGTGGAATCGTGGGCAAGATTCTCTTGCAAAAGTCCCGGTGTCTCAGGTACCGCTGATCTTGC